TGTTGCTTCAATATTTCAACTCTTTATTTGATCACCTTTTGGAATAACAAATTGACCTTATATACATGCTTATTTATAATACAAATATTAGCATATATAGGAATGTGTGAGGAGCCTACTGTGAAAGATATTATTTTTTTTAAAAAAGGAAAAAAGTTGTTTTTTCTGGAATACAATCTATTTCCTAAAGTACTGTAATATTCATGTTTCGCATAAAATATAACAATTGTTAAAAATTTATCATTGAACCATGAATGCCAATTGTAGTTTGTAGTTTGTCACTAACCTAGTGTTAGATTAGTCTACAAACAATGTGATTTAATCCTAATTGATTTAATTTCTATTGCACTGATAGATATAGGTGACACTTGTGCTTGGATTTGTACTGGGCTAGATCATTATAGTTATGTTGCTGTGTTATCTGTCCTCTCAATTTAAAAAATCATAGTTGGATTATGCATGATTATGTAATCATCATGAATAAAAAGAAGAAAGTGAACTTCCATTTTCCAAATTAATTGTTACTGGTACAATATTCCTTGATCATTTAAGCTTCTGTGGTACATACATAATATTACCTTATTTAGCTACAGTATCCTATAAAGATACATTTATTTTTCAACTGCCTTTCTATTTGACCTCACAAAATGAAGCTACAGTAGCCTAAAATTACAGTAAATGTGAACTTTTGTAACAGGTATTGAACTTTACTGTATGGGAATGGTTGTCATAATGAATTGAAAAATGTAGTCATTGGTAAATCTGCCCAGTAAATCATCATTGCTCAAAATCTATCATATGACCTTAGATCAGAGCATCAACACAGTGTTTAAGAATCTGAGAAATGGGATGGTGTGACATGTTTTTAATGTTTCAGCCAAGTGATTTAATGAGGAATTTTAATTCAATTAGGAATTGATTAATATTGTAGCAGCTATACAAGTACTCAAATGAGGATGATAGAAAGAAAAATCAAAGAAATATCTACCAACAATTAGGCCTACCATTCTCCTTCAGATTTTCCCTGAAGCTTCCCACTCCCGGTGGAAACTTCCTGATCCGCTCCAGTATGACAAGCCCAAGTAATCACATTATTAGTCCTATTTATTTGTTTTTAGAATTGTTTACATTTCAACAGGCATTGCTGGAATATTCCAGGTTCACAAAAAAATTTCCATCTGGCTGACCATTATGATACTACCACTAAAATGCTAAATAATTCAAAATCAAGTACATTACAAAATCTGTTTTAGCAATTTGCATGGAGGTGATAATTGATAATACAAGTCACACCAGAGAGCATCTGCTCAAAAACTTAAAGGAATTGAAAGAACATAAATTATTTTCTTTTGAGGCCATAATTAAAATAGGATTCCTTGCAAATCACAACATTTAGGCACAATTATTTATTTACTAAATCTGTAATCTTTAATCGAAGTATTAATATGTAGAGTTGATGAAAGTTTGTACCCTGAGAGAAAATATAGTTGAGTGCACACTTTCCTTTACCATTACAAATCAATTGTCAAAAAAAAAAAGGTACTGGGATCCACTGTCGGCTAGAGTGACTTGTGTCATAGAATACACAAGTCACTCTAGCCGACTTGTGTTATTTGTGTTATAATTGGTAAAAAAATCATAGAAATAGAAAAAAATTTACAACATTTGATAAAGTTGCACATAAAAAAACACTGGAAGAACTTGGTGACCGTTCATGCTCAGAAATTGGATCTGAACTAAACCATTTTCTTATAATAAATAAAACGAATAGTATGGGAAAACAGGAACAATTGGTAATTGTCCAGGCCTTAAAATAACGTGACGGAATGTTAATGTATGTTTTATTAGTTGTTACCACAGAGTTCAGGTGATCACTTCCAAGTTCATCCATTTTGTCAAAAGGTACAAAATTCTAACAGTCAGCATTTCTCATCAGTTTTAAGGTAAATACCTATAAGGCTGGCTATGTATCAAAGCCAATCAGAATTGCCAGTTCAGGATGTTTCTATTTTTGTACTCCTACAGAGGGATTGATGCTGTGTGAAAATTATTTGAACATCAACTTGAGAAATGCCACTTTAAACTTGAATTAATAACCTGCATCACATGCTGTGCGCTTCATATGTTGCCTTCAGCTCCAGTTGCACATTTCTGCAAAATTCAAGTCATTGACTTTCATTTTCTTTCTCAGTAATACTCTGTGTCTGTAAGGTGTGTTTTATTATGCCATTCATCACCTAAATTGATACTAAAAGTTGGAAAAGAGAACTAAGTTTTGAAATTCCACATCCTAAGGGATGAGAGAAGCCATTCTTGCAGGAAATATCCTCCATTTGTGAGTGGATGGCCAGAGATAAAAATATATTACAGCACACAGTATCTGTCGCTAGTTTGTTTTGGCACACCTAGGCAAATAGAATGTACATTGCTGGGTCAGAGAAAAGGTCACCGTATGGCTTATTGTTTGCAGTCATATCAAATGCTGCTTTGTTGCTAGCTGGATAAATTAAATCCATGTTCTCTAATTTGAGGATGTATATTTTCAATTAATTAAAAGATGCAGTAGATCATTGAATAGGCCTTCTGTACAGTATGTTATAATACTGCCTTCAGTGAGAGAATGTTTGCTTTCATTATGTGCATTTAATTACAAGGCTCTTTTGAAATATACATAATGCCAACAAAAATGTGACATCAAATTCCTAGTAAAGTAATCTGTTATTGCTTTAATCTAATTTACATTATAGCGCACTCATCTCTTTGAGTATGCTAGTAGCATGCCATACATATTTATTTTCTCAAAATTAGTGAAAGAGAAACAATGAAATGTCCTTTTTTTATATTGAGTGTGTTGTACTCTGCATAATTTTAATGTTGATATCAAGTTTTACAACATAGTACAGTACACTACAGTATATGACATTTAAATTCTGATTTATGATGTGTTATAAATCTGAAGTTTTCCTTGTACAGTAGGTCATGTTTTGTGAAATAGACTCATAGGCACCAGCAGGTGATTAATCTTAAGATAATATCAACCTGAGGTTTATATAGCAATTGAGTATGGATGGAGCCTATCAACACAAAACTTTTTTTCCCCTCATTCACTCACCGGAATGCATTTAGCAAAAGGGATTTAACAAGATTGTGTTGATCTACAGTAGGTGTATTGTATTTCCAACCATTGTATCTATTGTTTCCTCGGAATAGAAGAAAATACACAGAAAATATTGGAAGTTCTTTCAATCCATTTGATTCCCATGTTGTTGTTCGTTAGTCACCCAAAAATATAGAATATGGTATTATTGTTGGGCAAAGGCTAACCACTGGTGAACACTCTCAATTAGATTGGTTTCTGTTTCGAGGTTTAATTCAGTTGGATAAATATAAAGATCATAAATAATAATGTAAGCAGGAGATTGAAGTTGTTACTGTGTCATTACCGTAAATCATGTTTTAGTTGATTATTGTATATTTGTGTAAAGTTAGCACCAAGAACAATATTTCATACTCGGTTATCATAAACATGACATTTAAAAACTTGCCTTACCTCAATGATTTAAAAATTACTATAATAGTATAGTCTTGCTATGTATTGATTTTAGTTAATACGGTAATTAGCAAGCTAGCTACAGTAGCTACATGTAGTAACAGGACAGATCAGGTTGTTTCTACCAGGATGATTGATGCACCAATAAAAGGGTGAGGGCTAATGGTTTGGGCAAGGTGTCTGCATTTGAAGCACGGTGTGTAACCATTTTACTGTAATATTTTACCAAAACGATTGATTTCATACTTGGAAATTTATTTTGCTGCTGTGGGGATGGGAGAAAGAGGATCTGGCTCTAGGAGGTGGAGGAACTGACCCTTTGGGCTCCTTGAAAATCATACTTAGTGGGATTTCCTGGTCAAATATTAATTAGAAAAAGAAAGGTAATGTAACACTTGTATAGCACGTAATGCACGAAAAAGTCTTGTATGCGCTTCACATAATAAAGTAAATAAAATGTTTAAACAAACAAATACACAAATAAACAAAACAAAAATCCCAGGATCTGATGCTGAGTAAATATTTATTCTGCCATCATCTTGTGATTTCAATGTTGTAATTGAATTGTACTGAGTCTGTTTTGTGATTTTATCATTGCATTCTGTAATACTCTGTGGAGTTACTAACTATAAAGTATACCACCAGTATCTGTGGTATGCATATATTAATTAACCCCTGCCATGTAATATTACTGTATGTCTTTAACCCCATCACAGAGTGCTTTTAAGTTAAGCACAACAATCACTGTCAGCTGGTATATGAGTTGCATGTGTGTAATTCCTCGTTACCTATTTACCATGGTTCCTATTTTGATATTGGAATTTTATGCATTCATTTTTGTATTTTATTTAATAAAGATCCTTAATTAATTGAATTTGGTTGTCAAATTTAACAAATGAAGAGTACTTTCTGTATGATCTGCCTGCACATCATCATCCCTGTGAAAATATTTTAAATAATTATTAGTTTACATACTTTTTAATTTTGTACAGTTTCCTTCTTTTGGTAGAAGACTGTTTCAAATCAAAAATATACAATAATGTACCCATACCAGTAACTATAAAACAATTGAAATACAGTAGTTTAGATGAATACTGTAGCTTGCTAGTTAAGATACTTGCCCTCCATTGCCAGAGTCCTGGGTTCAGTTCCTGTCATTGTTGCAGTATCTTTTCTCATGACCAAAACATCTCCACTCCCTAAACCTCATATTGAGATTTATGTGTAAAGCATCATGTGTGTATGTATGTCTTGTGTAAGGGATTGTCACCTACAAGTAGGACAGTGATATATTCGCTACTAACAGTTCTTGGTGCATGTGTTGTACACCTAAATAAATAGAAATGAATAAATCTGAAGAAATTTAAATTCCTATCGTATTCTGAGTCACCAATATGTTTGTAACATTTTATGAATTGAGATTGATATTTTATGTTTGGTTATTTTACAGATGAACGTAAGCTTGGAGAAAATGAGAACCCATTGCTGGTGCAACTTCACTGGACAGAAAGTGACAGAGAAGGACGATTTCTACTCAAGGTGGAAAATGGCAAAGACGTAAGTCTGCAACCAATATTGATTAATAAAATTTACTTGGTTTTAAATCTCAAGGTGAATTAATATTTATAACACAAACAAAATGAAATTAATGGAAAGGAGAGTCATAAGTAATCTTTATTCATTCTCAAAAAAGAAAATTCCATTGCTTGTCGGAGTAATTAAATACAAAGTTAAAATACAGGTAAAAAGAAGAAAGACATACATACCCAAACCCATAAATATATAAAAGATGATGAAGAAAGGATTAAAAATGATATTTAATAGGTAAGCTTGAATGCTTAACTTGATGTTGATGTTTAAGACTTGCTGATGGAAGTACTGTATGTGGCAATAATTGGTAAAATGATGTACAGTCGAAAGATGGACGTCTACCCATCCAAGATATGTTAATTCTGTATCGTTTCTTTCTTAGGGTGCCTTTGATAATGGAGCAAACCGCAATTCAAAACGACGTCTGTCCCGACGAGAAAAAAAAGAGCTGAAGAAGAAGGAGAAAGAAGCAAAAAAGAAACAGGTATATACAGTAATCGGATAATACAAACCTTTCTTATTCTACAGTAGATATTAATTCAGCTCTTTTTGTTGAGGTTTCAGGCAAAATAACAAAATACGTCTGAAAGACGAATCTTGGAAATATGCATTTATCTACTAAAAGATTGCAGAAGTAGAAAATTGATAATGCAATGTATATCTGAGGGTGTGTTTATACGCAAGTCTTTTTATCCGGTGGGGGAAAAAAACGAACTTTTATCCATTCAAAATGTGTCGTTTTGATTGTGAAACATTAAATTTTTTGAGGTTCGATTGTGTGTCCTTTATTTTATATTAATTTTATTTTCTTCATACCAAATTTAAATTCAGTCAATTTAGTCATGCTTTTGTTTTGACCCAAATTTTTTGATATGCACAATTTCAAGTACATTTTGAATTAGGTCAACAATCCTACAGTTACAGTATGTGTGTACCCTATAGGTACCTGCTTAATATTGCTGAATCGTGGAATAAGCTAATTAGCAAACTCACATATTGATTAATCAGTGATTAGTTATGAATACAACGACCTCGTTTACAAGTCCAATCAATCATTAATCTGGTAAATAAGAGTCTCGTTACAGGTAGAAAATCATGGTTTAATCATTTATTAATATTTAAATTTCTTTCATGCTGAACGTATGATGACAGTATAAATAGCAATGAGGTACTGCACAAATGGCAAAACAGGTTGATACATAACCATGACAACATTAGTATTTTACCAGACATTTCTGGAAATGTTTTACCAGAAAGAGTGTCAACAATATAGTGCATTGTTTCTGAAATTGCTACACAGTATTACTATTCAAGTTTAAAATACTGTAATGCATTAAGATTTGAGAATTATTTAAAAACCAAATACGAAAATTTAATCATTCCAAATTTTAATCTTTCAATTAAAGTGGTATTTACATCATAATTTGCAGCGAGTTTTTGTCATTATTACTGTAAAAATTAACCATCTTGACCTAGCTACTTGTTACTGGCTGTGATGGTTTTGATATCTAGATGCATTAGGAGCTATGTTATATCATATGAACAGTGTGACTTTGACCTTAAGGAACTATGACCTTACCATTGGACAGTTGATGAGTATTATGGCATAGTAATTCAACCTTGAATTAAGCCAACCTTGTATACTTACTCCAGGTTATGTAAAAGAAGATGATTCTTTGACAGCTATAATTTTTAGCTGTACTGTACATTGTAATCTGTGTAATTGAGGATTTAGTAAGTGTCCTCTTGGAATGCCACCTATGTGTCCCAAGCTCTCCACTTCAGCCCTTTCTACAAAACTGCCTGTGTGCAGCTTGTAGAGTCATGATCAATTATTATAAAGACACTATTTTTCTTTTATCAATTTCTACCTCTGCAAAACAAAATGGTTGAGATTATATAAACATAGGAAATGACCCTTTAACTGACTTTATTCATCTGGAAGACAATATGTTGAGATTACTAACTGACCAGCTACAGTACAGTGCCTTGCAGCAGTCTTGCATTAAATATTTAGAAGATCATTCATGAAATATTTCTACTACTGACTTAGAAGAAGCTTACTACAAAATAATTTAAAATCCTTCCACATTCATATTAGAAACAATTAACAGAATCTAAAGTAGTTGAATTCTCTCGTGCTTAATAACAAAAACACACAGCTGCTTAGAGTTTTATGCATGTCTTACTTTGCATGCTGATTTCTTTTTCAAATCTAACTTTTACATCAATGGTTTGTTGTGCGATATTAAAGGGCAAGTCGCCCGGGGGAAGTATTGACGATCTGCAGCTCAGCACGGCTGAGCAGCATTACAAAGAAAAGCCGGATTCGTTGTTTACACGTAGCATCTCAAACCCGGAAGCTGTTTTGAAGCGCCGGCGAGAGCTGAAGTTGGAAAAGAAACTGGATAAAATACGGCAACGGCCAAATTCAGGTTTGTGACTTTCATTTGTACTTGTAATTTTTTGAAATTATTACGTGTATAGGCCAAATGGCAAAAATTTTATGTTGCTTGTTAAATTTCACCTTTTTTATTGAAGCAAGGAATTGTTACAGCAGCTCCCTGATTAAAGTTATTTTTAAAATATAAATGTGAGTTCTCTTTGAGTAAATGCAAGTGTTTGCTGTATTATATAGTTTTTAAAAGAAAAATTAGATATTACTTATGAAGATAAATTATTAATATTATCCATAATTATTCATAGCAATGGAGTTTTTATTTATTTATTTATTTAGAAAACGTTTTTGCAACAGCGGCACCCATTACAATAATGGTGCATCAAAAACTAAAGTGAGTGGAGTGATAGTGATAGTGTCTATGGTGTGAACAGTCTGTGATAAACCAGCTGTTTGCATGGCTAAGCTACCAAATGAAGGCCAGGCTACCATTTCCAAAGAGCAGTCTTCACAAAACCTCCACATTAATATAATATTTCTTAGTAGTTAAGGATTGGTCTAGTTATGACTTTAGTGGGACTTAGAAGAAGCTTATCACCAGGGTTTGATTTATACCTGACCTTGTGCAATGATGTAAATGACTGGTTATATTTAGATATTGCAAGAACTTATTCATCATTTTTAATTACCATGACGTTATTATTGTCCTATTTCTTTTAATATCTGTCCTTGTATACATGTAATTCCAAGTCCTTCAAGGTATTAACAGAAAGTTTTCCTTGAATTATAGTTATATTTGATATATTTTATTGATACTATACAAATTAAAATTGTTCACGTACACATCATAATTTAAAGTCCTATAATTACCAAGTTTCTGTTTGTAAACCAATTAAATATTCTAAATCAACTAGGCCTAGAGTATGTATTGACTATCAATAACAACAATGAAATTACATTACAGCACTAAATCAATATTATAAACATAAGAAAATTGTAGCAACTATTAAGAACACTATTAATATCAATAAATTTCATTTGAGTAGCATGGTACATTAGATAGTAATATACTAATGTAAAGTTTAATGTTTTTAAAATAAATGAAATTAAAGGTATAAAATAATGTTATTGTCTGACAATACAGAGCATAAAATCATGTAGAGTAGTGCTTAGAGCGGTCATGTAGACTCACGTTTACAATTGGGTCATATCACCGTTATAGTGGCTGATGTACCATAATCACCCACTACAGTATATAGCTTAACTTACAATTGGGTGATATCCAGGTTGAGTATACAGTCATTGTGTCATGTTGATATTGGAATTTTAGAATGCCTTCACAATACCCTGTGCATCAATCAATTCAAAATCCTTGCCAGGTATTTCATAGCTTGTAGTCGGATATGAGTGGCGCTGTAGCTCAGTATTCAAATACTAGGATCTTTGGTTCGATACAAGCTAATGATCAGGGTATTTTCGCAACTTAAACGACTACACATCTCCGTAACACTCAAATGATTATTTAATAGAGCAATTATAATTGTGTATTTTTTATTCAGTGTAAGGGGTGACATTTTAATGTGGATAATAATGTGGTTAAAAAAAAAAACCATAGCCTAATTACTACAGTATGTACTTGGTCCTCAAATTCATTCCACCATTGTGTACATGTGCCATAGATTGTAACACAAAGAACACAAAGATCAGTCTGTAAAGATCAATTAATTGATAAATTTATATAACTTAGTGGTTTTATTTTCCCGCATAAAATTGTCTTTTGTGGTTTCTTTTGTCTTGTTCAGAAGCAATAGTAAATAATTGTATATAATTTATTCATGAACATCATTTGTAGTTTGGTTTTTATTGTTCTCACTTAAGATCTTTTGAAATTGAGTCAAATAGCTAATTGTTTACCTTTAGCAATTCAAGGAGTTGAATAATACTTTTTGCTTTAAGAGTCTTCCTGTTCTTGATTGTTGTTCTCTTTGATTCTCTAGTTTCCGGTTAAATAGTGAAAGTGTCTGTTCAAAGGACAAACTACTTTAACTTGATATTTTACTCATTGGATTGGATTGGATTTATTCGGTGTAAACACCAAGGATAGCCCACGAAAGTCTAGAAGAAGACTTATTTCCAGTGGGGTCCTTCTGGTGGTGATTGGACAGTACACCGGGAGACAATCCCCTACTCTTTTCCGAAGAGTGTACTGTGTTCTTTAACGTGCACATGGGCCATAAATGCACACGGGACAAACGGCTTAAACGTCTCATCCGAAAGACGGTGAGCTATGTAACTTGTATTTCAGCCCTCTAGCTGAAACACAAGGAGAGGCAGCGATGGGAATTGAACTGGGGACCTAGAGATCTCCACGGTTCAGCGCACACACAGTGGCTACCACCAGATTAGCCGACCGAGCTAAGCTGCTCTTTATTTGATTTTATAACAATAATTTCAAAAATATTTTATAAAATTCTGTTAACACTGTGTTTTCCATTGGATAGGTTTTGTCCATTAAATTGTGTTTTGTACTATATGACCATCCTGATTTTTTTTTCCTAACTCAGTAAGGGAGTAGACTACCATAAACCCCATTGTACACTCTGTATGCATGAGCATCCAATGTGATTCCATTAGATTACAACTTGTGTCAGGATCTACTTAGACTGCATAAGCTACAGATCTTCACTGCCACCTATATTCGTGCGTACTTGTTGCACTGAATGATATGGCAGCATATTAAATTTACGACACAGAAGGCATTGAATATGATAATAGAAATAGTACGGCCTTAGTCACACTCTGCAATTTGAGTGTATGTACGCGGCAGTTACGGCAATAACACGTGCCACCCTCAGTCATGTATTACAGTATGGTTACGCGGCAGTTACGACATTAACACATGCCACCCTCTGTCATGTATTACAGTATGGTTAATATATGTTTCTAAATTTGTTTTTTCAGGTGGTGTTCTCAAGGTATATGCTCACACCATTGTGCCGCAGGTTCCATACAAATCCCTGCTCGTGTCTGTAGACCAGACAGCAGAAAATATAATAGCTGAGGCTCTAGAGAAATATGGTCTACAAAAGCATAACCCTGCTAATTACTGCCTCGTCAAGGTAACCAGGGTTGAGTGTGTGTTCCCAGCACGTGTGATGTGTGTGTCTCTCTCTGTACATGAAGTTTGTCATGTTCTGTGCTGCTATTGTACTCTTTAAATTCACCGTGATTGCAATAAATTTACCTTATTACAAATGCGTGTGCTTCTTATCTTGTGTGTTAATTGTTTAGCTGAGGACCAGATTTCATCTGTCAGACAAAAAAACATGTTAGATGAATAAATAAATAAATAAATAAATGTGTTTGCGGGCTTGTTGAAAATCATATACATTACAAAATTGTTTAATTTTTGTTTATTTGTTTACTTATTTCCGTTGGTTCCTTTCATCCAATGGGATTGAGACAAATTATACTTAAAAGCCCCTCTTGTATATGAAATCGCTTTCAGTATATGGCATAAACTTCAATTCTTGGTGGTTGGACTATTGCACTGTTTAACTAGGATTTTAAGAACAAAATGGTAAAAGGAGAACATCCAAGGGAAATGTATTCCACAAACTACTCTTCCCTCCCGTGTATATTTATCAAGGATGCAAAAACTTCAACTTATTACATGGATGACCCAGTTCAAAAATCAAACTAAAAATTATTGCTAAGTATAAAACTACAAATACAAAAAATGCTTTAAATCCTTGAAGACCGGTAGTTCTTTGTTGGCCACAGGCCCATAATGTCAGTACACTGGGAGATAATCGCCTACACTTTTCAAATAGTGTATTGAGTTCTTATATGGTCCCGAGTTCAAAAAATTCTTACTGATTTTGCCAAGCCCCATTTGTTAATGACTGCTGCCAATTTTGTTGGTAATTACTACATGCTCCATTTTATGGACTGCTACACCACCTCACCCCATTGCCTCTTAATATGCCTGAAAAACAAGCATACAATTCCAGACAATAATGCTATACTTTACATAACCATGGAAACACTTTATCACCTCAGTCATTAGGGATTTTCATCAAGGCCGTCAAAGGCATCATTACATAGGATCAGCTTGGAATCGCACTAGACATAAATTCATCAAATACAAAGAAACATCTGATTAAACATTGTTGAGTCTGACAGAAATAAAAATCTGATATAAGCCTGACTTTAGTAATAGAAAGAGAAAGCATCTGCAGTCTGTTAAAAGCTTAGTTATTTAAATGAATGAAACTATAAGCTATAAGCATATTGTATTATCCAGTAATGAATGAATTATTATACTTCCATTGTGATAACATAATATGCATCTTGATATTCTGTATTGGTTTCGACGAATGCATGCATATTATCTACATATTTTACTACTTGTTTACCTCAATTATTCCAACCGTTCTTTACTGGTCTCTTAATAAAACTTATTTGCATCAAAAATACAATGCATGCTGATGTAACATTGTTGCATATTACAGTACAATGAATAATGTTAGCATTATTTTGGCTTGGAGACTTATTATAATTCATTCTTAAAAAATATATATTTTTGCTTAAGTTATTATAATTTCATTATAAATATAGTGTAGTATATGCCATAGAACATCCTGCAATATAGCAATCAAGAATAAGATTCCAGTTTATCTTCCTCTCTGTGATTTAAACTTTTAATACATGTAGGCTTATATCTGTTTTAAAAGTTGATGTTCATATAGAAATGGAGAGCACACTATTTAGACAACTTTGGTTATGATTGCTTTTGTTGTTTTTATATGTTATGTTATGTTATTTTCCAGAAGATTAAATGTAATCTTAGAAATGTGTAAATAAATTGTATTGACAGTATTGTAGCTATGGTATGCTTTATCATTGTTAAGTATGCCATTGTATCTGCCTCACATCATTAAAAAAAAAAAAAAAATGTTGCAATGAACAGAACTTACTGTTTGGTAGTTAAGAAGCTTGTCCTTCAAGTCTCATTATCCTGGGTTCAAGTCACAGAATTTAAGTTTCAGATTCCAAGGTCCTGGGTTGAAATCCCCAGGGTGATTGTTCAAATTACAGGGTTCTGTTCAAATATGATATGTTTTTACTATTTGCTAAATTCTATTTCATGCCTCATAATGGGATGGTGGTGTTGTGTTATTGACAATGTTAATAGTTTAGCAGTTGCCCATGATGCAGTAGTAACATGTCTACAGCTCAGCATAAAAGTTCAACATCCAGCCACAGATTGGCACAACACACTGTGCATGCTCTGTAGCTAAAATGGTGCATTGTGGACTATATTTACATATATTTATATATATATTTTCTATATTTACCTACTAAGAAACGAATTTGTCTGTCTACAATATAAACAGTGAAATGTCATGTTACATTGTGCAGTAAGCTATTATTGATCAGGGTACGACACTGCTATCAAATATTGTATTGTTATGTGCTATGCAAATCTGAGGACATTGATTAATATTGCCTTGCCATTTTTGTATTTTAATTTTTCAAATAAAATATCTATATTCATGTTTAACTTCTTTTTTTATTCCCCCTTTAATTGATTTTATCAAGTTGAAATTCGCATGACAAACCATTATGTATAGTAATCTCATCTATAAAAAACTAAGCCATTACTTCAATTATTATATACAATTTGATATTGCTTACATCTTTGCTTTCTGAATAATAAATTGATCACTTCCTCTATAGATGACATTTAGAATTAGCCCTATTTTCATCATATTTAATATGAATTGATATAATACTACTGAATTATTATAAAGAGCATGGTAAATTGATGATGATGAATGATGAATATTGTTTTTCTAGTATGAATATTAAATATCTGATGTTTCTGATATGAATAATAACTAATTAATGTGTTAATATTGGTTTTTTGAATTATGAATAAAATGTTAAAAGCTTTGAATTTATTTCTGATATTGCTGAATGAAAATTTTAGTGTTTATTAATCATATACTTTGTTTTTCTTAGTTAATAATACTAAGAGTTATTTTTGCATTATATTTATCAAAGTTTAAGTTTCCTGGATTTGATTTTATTTTTGCATGATGTGCATGGCTTTGCCAAATGATTTTTTTTTCTTGTTTTTGATTGTTAATGTTATCTTTCGTGCATAATTCCACCATATTAATGTCAAAACCTCTGTGGTATGTACACCTAATTTATTGATGCCTATATGTGATTCCATTAACTAGGATAATCAAATTTTTAAAATTTAGTTGTCTTTTAACATTCTGTATTATAGAAAATTAATTGTATATTTCTTTCTTTGGCAGGTAACGGTTCCCCCAGGAGCAAGCCCAAGTGAATATGCAGACAAGGGAGAATGGGGTAAAGAAACTGTAATGAAGCCAGATGAGAGCCCTCTAGAAGCAGTGATAAAGCAACCACCAGATCAAGGTGTGTGTGTGTGTGTGTGTAAACATTTTAATTTATATTTAATGTGACATGAACCACAGTTTTCTTTTAATTCTTTAAGGATTTTATTCCTGAGTGACTGCAATTTTTGTTCTTTTTTTTTTTTTTATGAAAGTTGTTTAATTTTAAAATGGCTTCCCCTTTTCAATTAGATCTGAAATCTTAAAAATTGGGACTGAGGAGCACTAATAATAGCATGCAGTATTAGAATAATGAAAGCATATGTGCTCAGTAAATAGCTGAAGCAATAAAAAAAAATGTATTGAAGATGTTTTGCAAAGCCTCATGGGACATATTGTCTTATTAGGCAGGCCATGTCATGCATCCAGCCTTTCGTATGATATCACTTACGATACACAGATAAAAATATTTAATTTGATGTTTTTTGTGTATTCATATACAGGAGAGTTAAGGTTTGAACTGAAGAATCGGCAGGACGATCATCCAATTGCAAAAAAGATGGTAGATAACGATAACTATGTGGGTCGATCATCTATACCACAAGACAGGCTGCCATACTTCTTGGAGCTTAATCCAGGTAGAGTCAGTTTTTTTCATATTTCAGATTCAATGTAATTAACCATCTGACTGATTTTAATTAGTTCTGCTAATTTAATTAATTTAATTTAATTAGTTCTGCTAATATCAATGACCAACAAAATTAGTATTTGACATTGTTATGTTGTCAAAAGTTTCTAAGAACCATGTAAGTCAATCTTATATGAATTAAAAATATTAATTTTTCATAATTTTTAAGGTTAATAACTAAATGATATACAGTATAAAGAGGCATAGAGAGAGACAATGCTATTAAATACATCATTAATGTTATATTTACTAGATAACTAACAAACGTTAGATGTTTTACTTAAACCATGGAGGAAATATATTACATATTATATGCTTAAACGTTTGTCTTTAGTCACTAAGCACAGGTAGAGGATTATAAAGGAACCACTGAGTAACATCCTAAAAATAAAATAATAAAGTATTGAAAGGTTGGTTATTTGATGGTCTTCAAAGAACAACTGTATTTATTTAGAGAAGATTGAAAAATTATTATTGAATGTATGAATGAATTTCCAATTGAATATTACCTTAAAATTCATATCAATTGCCTCGGAAACAAAGATATGTTAAAGTTAATATTGATTGTAATCAAACTTAGGGCATTGGCTTAGAAACAAAGAAATATCATGTAGGCAATCAGACTCTAGGCAAACATAAAGGACAAATGAAGATGTATCCATAGCTAAGTATGAGTGCTTACAACATAATGAATGTGAACTGTACTAGTATCGCTTACAATATGTTTCACATTTATTTTCTTGTATTTCCCTTTTTGAATTAATGACTTTCATTTCAATCTCAACTGTTCATGTATATTGTACAGTACTTAGCCTAAGTGATGTGTTCTTTCCTTATAAATTCCACTTACCATCTAATTGGCTTTAGTCATCTGATGTTAGTAGAGGTAATTCTTTTATTCGTAGTCATACTTAGTTCAATGTAAGATTCACTTCAAAATTGGATGGAATCATTCTAAGTGGGATGACAACTCTATTTCAATATTGATTGCAAGATGATGTTAGCTTGAGTGAATTCACTTAATTATTCATCTCTGATTTGTAGTTACCCTGCTTGACAAAGTTTAATGTAAACTACTATGCCAGTGTGTCTAGTTATATAATGTAGATATATTTATAATTAAGATTATAAACATAAAAACGTGTGCGATGTTGTAGAGTCCCTTTAATATCATACAGCATTCTTGAATGCATGTTAACCTACAATCGTAATTTTTTTGTATAGTAAATATTGTTATTTTTGTTATAATTTATATTTGTTTTAGTACTTTCAACCTTATTTTTATTGAATACTTTAAACATAAAATCAGAACATGACTAAGAACTGACACAAAATCATAAAAAATATGTCAGACATATAGTTGCGTATGGCAAATATGTCAGACATATAGTTGCGTATGGCAAATATGTCAGACATATAGTTGTGTATGGCAAATATGTTTTTCTTGAGGAATGCCACTTGCTGGTTTACATGTTTATATATTTTTGTCTGTTTCAATCCAGCAACTATTCAGCAATGTTGTATTATTGAATAAATATCAATACATGATTCATTATTTGCCAAAATTTATAAATTGTTGCTCTAAATGTTGTTATTTCAGATGGCACAGACGTTATTGATTATAAGCCCAAGAGACATCGTCTTCAAATGGACGTAACTGAAGTCGGAAGTGCACGTGCCGTCCCGTCAACTGGGAACTACCTACAGGTGAGTGTCTACATTGTACGCATAGTCACATGATACCAACATCCTCATCTAATTGGTCCATTCCAAGTGGTATAGGGCATAGTCAATGTTGATCTTTTGACCTTAAACGTTATTGCTGCTAGGTTCCTGTTTATTTTGCTCTGAATACTTGAAAATATTAAGTCAAAATAAAAGATGTGTTAACCATATCCACTGACCCAAAGTCATGTAAATTTAGGGTCAGCTTTTTTACAATAATGTTTCAAAAAGCCACTTCATTGTTTTCGTTTCATCCTATTCAATTAGGCTTAGACAAATAGTAAAAGAAAATGCTATATATAATAATTGCATGCAGTGCTTACTATCAAAGATGCACTGCTGTTGAACGCCTGGAACACATGTATTAGTTACATGTAATGGCATCGCATTACCATTGGAATTGATAATTCCTCAATTGCAGTTAGTGAAACCAATGATATTTTGTTAGCCTTGTAAATCCAATGGAAACACTAACTAATGATGCATAACAGGACAGTTATGAAGTTCTGATTAATTATGGATTACATGTTGATTATTATTTTATAACAGATTAATAATGAAATCAGCTTCTTAGAACTAAAGATCATTCTTGCATGCCAAACTCCTGGTGATGTAACATAATTACATAGTGTTACTAACAAGTACTCTTGTATGTTTTTTTTGTATTTTCAAAATTATAATTACTAAACAATTAATATTTGTATTTTATTTGAGTTGATATTTACTTCAATTATATTAAGCTAGATGAGGTAGATAGTTTGAAGTCAAAGACATGAAAATTGGTTTGAATGTATTCATCATCATCATCATTCAGTACCGTAACCCCTGGTGTGGTTTTTGAGGCAAGAATGATGATGTCTTGACATTCTCCCGCCATTGGTCGTGGTCATAGGCTACCCTCTGGGATATGGCAAATGACAATCCTGTCCACTGTTGTCCTTCTATCTTTTTCTCTGTCTTCCTTTTCTCCTTCCTTGGAAATGTACCTTGTAAGATGATCTTTGTCAGGCCTGGTTATATGTGCATACCACTTAAGCTTTCTTTTCTTTACAGTTGTCGGCAACTTTTCATGTTGTCCAATGGCAATTGTTATTTCCTTGTATTCAGTTTGGAACAAACCCATTTAATATGCAAACATCCTGAACATCCCCTCAATCTGATTGGCTGTGATGCATACAGTACATAGACTAATAGAATGTAGTACATTGCACAACTATTCAAGGTATATTTATTCATAAAAACATCAAAAATTGTTCATGGCAGCCAAATGCTGAATTGATACAATTTTACAAAATTTAACATTCACATTTTTACATTCTAAGATGCTTTAATTTAATAATTCAACATTTTTCTTCTTGTAGTTATGTTCGCAGCATATTCTTTCTCGTCATTGTGTCATCGCAAACATGGAGGGCGTCATCACAGTCACGCCAACTAGCCGCGATGCAGAGACGTACGTTAACAGGCAACGGATATTTGAGACAACAATAATCCAACACGGAGCAGTAATCCAATTTGGCAAGATGCATACCTTCAGATTTTGTGATCCACAGCGTGAAGAACCTGTAAGTTTCTCTTTTTGTTCCTTTGTTTTATTTTTACAGGAAGAAAGTTTAATGATATTTCTATTGGTGTGGTTCTTTTAAATGAATATGAAAATCTATGAAGAATGTATTGCGTTATTGGAAACTGAAACAGAAAAACAATTGATAACCCTAAAGTTGTTTTGATAACATTTTTAATAGTACAGATATTGTAAATATTGTCAGTTTTGTATCTTGGCCAGAAAAATGAAATTACGATAGTAAAATAAAATTATGATATGATGACTTCGTAAATTCTAGTTTCCATTTAACGCAACAGTTCTTTCAATGCCTTTTAACCATTTGTAACAAGTTATTAAATTATTAAGTACTGTAATACTACCAATGGACTCATTTCAGAAATATAACATTTCAATTCAAATCAAATGTAGTGGTCAAACTCATCTCGGTCTCGATATTAAAATTATTACAGAATTCCTACTTGAAAGCTTTGAAACTGAAAATTCTATTTTTAGAAATGAAATTTTGCATACAGGTCTGTGGCGTGTGGGTGCACTTTGACCTTCACAGTAACACACCTAGTAGTGTTATATGTTACTTCATAATAGTAACCTTCAAAGCAACATGTTTTATGTGATCTTAAATATCTTTTGCTTCCGTAGTACTATCATTCGCATTGGAGAATGTATGTAAGTTTAATTAGATAAATGCTAAGCTTATTTCTGTTTTTATTTGTTCTTATGTGATAGCATACAATGAGCCCCTGCAGACTGCCCAAGTATCCTGGTATTTCAGTCTGATTATCCTAATTGGTCCATTCCTCCTTCTTGTGCTGTTCTTTTTAAAATTGTTAAAAGAAGGTGCATGTAGAAAATAAATATAAATCTATTCATCTCTATTGATAATTAGTAATGTGTTTTCTATTGCAATTAAACTAAATTAATCCAAAAAATTCCAGAAATACAGAATAATTTTTTTTGAAAAAATGTCATATAGAATCTCCCTGAGCTCTGAGAAAGTGTGATGTGCATGATCCTGAGAGTTGCATCCATCTTGGACAGGCAGTTGTTTGAACACTCCCCTGACAAAAAAGATCATTTTCAGAAATTCTCTTAGGAAAATGAGGCATGCATGATCAATCATGAAGGCTGTGTCCAATAGACTGTCATTCAGACATTTGCCCTGACAAAAAAAACGTTTTCAGAAATTTCTTAAGCTTTTGTGAAAATGGTATGCATGATTGATTCTGAAGCCTGTGTCCAACTTAGACTGTCTCTCCTAACAATGAGTATTACATGTTTGGTGATACAATCTGAATTTCCCTTATCTTAATAAACACTGTCTTTATATACATATTGTCATACAAATATATTATCCATTCTAACAGCAATTAGTACTTATAATGAGGGTTTTCTAATTTAACAAATGTTATTTTTGTTTGGCTCTTGTTTTTATAATCTAATCTGTGTTATTAGCTTATAATACAGTATCTTCATTAAGTAACATTATACAGTAGAACCTCGATTTTGCGTACGGTACGGGATCAGAGGGTGTACGTAAATCGGGGGATTCGTAAAATAGAGGTTGGGTTAAATTTGTTGTAACCTTTGACCTAATACATACGTAACGCTCAATATACGTATACGTATGTATGAACGAACGATGTTACCTAGCTAGGCTAGACCTAGCCTCTAGGCCTACAAATTAAACAATGTGTTTAATGTTTTTATTCATCACTTTACAATGTCATAATAGAGTTTTCAAATAAAACCATGTGTCTAGTGTATTAATTCATCACTTTATATCTTTTATTTAACTAAAGAAAATGAAAATATTGTAAGATTACCTATACGACAAAGCTATAACTTCCCCTTCATGCCTATTCTAAACAACAGAGCTGTGGTGTTGTCTGGGCCTGTTGAGACAAACTAAACCCATGTGCACTGGGCGAGCCAACCAATTAGCGTTCGTGTACGAAACTATGCCTACTCAGCTTCGTGTAGAAAATTCGATCAGACAAGTTTTTCCATGGTTTGCCACACAAAGCTAAGGAGGAAAGCAATTATTTTGAGCACCATCGGTAGTTGTTCATCTCACTCAGTTCACGTGGTTTTAGATATAACAACCCGGTATTAGACTCAATCAACGTTGCTGTTTAATGAAAATGCGTTGCATTATGGTTTGTTTATTGTTATAGTTTATTGTTATAGTCTTTTTACTTATGGTTGCTCTGAAAAAGGCTGTTTGTTTTGAATATTTTCGGGGTTTTTGATGACGTCATCGTCGATACGAGGCGTGTGTAAAACCGAGGGTTCGTATAACTGGGGTACGTAAAAACAAGGTTCTACTGTACTAGTTAATATACTGCTCAGAGTCTTGGTATCTTAAAACACTTATAAGAACATAGAAACTTTAAATTATTCCTATAGTTTTATATATTTGAAGATAGATCTAGTCGTAAAGAAATTAAACTAATAATGTCTATTATTAATTACATTTTGTTGTTATAACTAAATTATTTTGTATATAAGTTTTGGTTATTCTTTATTATTTTTAAAAACTTTTAAATTCAGTTATTTTCAAGGCTTTTATTCATAATTTTATATTTGTATTAATAAAAATCTTATTTTTAAATGGTATCTATTTTGGTTGCTTTTTGAACTACAAAGCCATTTTAACATAATACAGCATTATATAGATCAGAAATTATATTGCTAAATACTTTATATTAACTTATACTATATGTTCTGTACTATTTTTTGTATAATTTCAACAAATACCACTTAAATCTGCGTTATATTATACAACATTTACAACAAATAATGTTTTAATTTGTATTATAAGCATCATTAACCAAGTTATTGAAACGTTAATCTTATTGTAAATCATTTACAACAATCATGTTTTATTACTTTTAATTACCACTTTGTAGATATCTGTAAGTGTCATTAACCAAGCAATTACTATAGCAATCGTACTGTTGTGAATTATAAGATTTACACATTATAAATCATTTGAAATATAGTTAACAAAAACAAAAAAACAAAAAAATTCTATGCATCCCTATAATTGCTCAATCCATACAAAATTTATGTTTATATATTGAATGTTATATAGCAGTTTGTACTTACTTGTGGTAAATTGGTAACAAGCTTTCATTGTTGGTATATTCTGTCTTGATATGACCAGCAAGGTTGCATGAGGATGAGCTACCTTCTCGTATCTCTATATTTATGCTCTGTATGGTATTGTGAAAACTTATGCATGAAGAGTTCTACCAGTATACATGGTTTGGAATTTTCAGGGAAAAAAGATCAATTAGACAAAAAATTATGATTTTAATGGAGAGTTCATAGTCTTGATTGAGGCTCAATTTCAGATTTCTACACAAAAACATAGTTGCTACTGTGAATATTCTGGTTAAAAGTTTGATTTTTCATTAAGTTTTGTGATTCCTTTTTTTTGTTTGAACAGGATATGTCTAATGCGTATGCTCCAAGATCCCCTACCAGACCAGTGGAGACGACCTTTGACGTGGATGGCAATATTGAGACAACCAGAGTAAGTAACCTTCATTCACTCAATCTTTAATAATATTTACTAATGAAATGCCATTCCCGAGGTGTATGTAATACTTTCAGCAAGTCCACATTCATTCTGCTATCCATGTTAAAATTTAAATATCCTGAGCTATCCATCCTATAACTGGCCAATGCAGGATGAAGCCTCATACATTAATATTACCCAATGGAAAATTTCTCAAGGTAAAAGATCAACCAAATTATGGAATGTCTCCCCAATCATTAAAACTGGCCTTAAAGATATGTCAACATCTACCTTCAAAAATGTTATTTTAAATGCTATTGAAATGACAAAACTTAATTAAATTTTCCTTTACCTTTGAATTGAACAACTTTAAAACTGTGTATTCTTTCTCTGTCCTGTTTGTAATTTCATTCTTCATTTTATTTTATTAATTATGTCTTAAGTCCTGGGTTCAATTCCTGTCAGTGTTGAAGGACTTTTTCTCATGACCAAAATGAATCCACTCCCTAAACCTCCTATAATTGAGATTTAGTTTGTGTAAAGCATCGTGTGTGTATGTCTTGTGAAAGGGATTGTCACCTACAAGTAGGACAGTGATATATTCGCTATTGATAATCCTTGGTGCATGTATTGTTCACCAAAATAAATAATTAAAATAATAATAATTTCAGGATAGAGAAAGAATAATTAAATAAATGTGTTCATATCCACTCATATTTAGAATGTTCCAAATACTGCCACAAGGACATCTACTTTACACTAATTATTATTATTTGTTGTTTTTAGCAGCAACAGGGCAGAGGTCAGCCTGATGTGAACTCACCGGTGCCAATCCCACGACAGGTTGATGATGGTTTGCCTGCTATCCTGGAGTTCAGGGAAAATGGTAGGTTATACAGTTTATTGGCTGCATTTCTTGCAAGTCCTTGTTTATTACCAAATGACCAGCGACTCACTTGCTAATTAACAGATGGTAGTGAGAGTATGAGGCTTAAGCCTCATAAACACTGCTGTAGTTTGCACAAGGTTGTGGTTTCTTTTAGTCTACGGTAGTTAGTTAGACACTAGCATGTGTATTCCTTTTAAAGAACTTTTGTGATGGATACTCCAACCCTAACATAGGTCGAATTTGATTTATGATAATAATAATAAAAATGAATGATTATGTATTTAGTATCGGTATCTACCAGCATCTTACTTTATATGCTCAAACTTTGCTAACATGATTTCTTGATTTATACAAATTTACAGCGGAGAACGATTTCCTTGAAGCACTTATTGCTGAAGTAAATGCTGCAGCCATGCCATTTAAACTCAGCCCAACTTACAGTGTGTATATGGCATTGCGCTACCGGCTTTCAAGGCTTTACAGACCAGAAATGGGTCCCACAGAGCGTGCTCAGAAACTAACAGCACTTTTGAACAAAATGGCAGATCTTGTTGAGAGAACTGTACAGGTACTGCATATTTTTCACTATTTTCATTTAAACATGTTTTTTTTAATGATTTATTTTCCATCTATTTTCCCAAAATTTATTATTCTTACCATTAGTTATCATATTTTTATTATTTACTGTCTTACACATTATCCATCTCCAGGATAGTTACAATAATGCTGGCGCACTGGCTTTTTGGTTGGCTAATGCCTCTGAGCTTCTTCACTTCATCAAACATGACAAAGACATGGGAGGGCTATCCCAGGATGCACAGGATATCCTGTCCGGTGCAGTGCAGGAATCCTTTAAACTACTTGTCAAGTGTCTGCACGGCGAACTTAACGCAGTCATGAATGCGTTCTTAGATCCAAGTGACGAAGCAGATGTCGAGAGAGATATGTCAACAGGTATGTACACCTTCTGGCCCTTTATTCTGCTTAAACATAACCCCTTTCCTTGAGATGTGTTAACTGGCATTTCCCCCTCTCCCTACACCACAAATGTTTTTCAGTTTGTCCCATTGTTTACCTCTCCATAAAATTTTTACTCCCCCTCTACCCCTCACTCTTATCCTGCAGAAGTAAACTTCATCACATTAATTAGTATTTACTATGTTGTAGATGATGATCTTCGTAGCACGGATAGCTGGGGAAGGAGTGCTCATCGGTTCAACCAAGGAAGGGGAAACTATGGACCTAGACCAACCTTGGGTTAGTTTATTAATACATTAAATAAAATAAAGAATTCAATGATATGCTTCTAAAAGTTATGAAATGTTAAACTCAAATTGTTATTTTAATTGATGCTAAGTTGGATTTGAAAGTAAATATATTATTGTCTTACCATCCCTTACAGGAGATGTGGTTCAGACTCTGTCTTCTGCGATGACATTGATACGTCGCTGTCGCGTAAATGCTGCCCTCACCATTCAGTTCTTCTCTCAGTTATTCCACTATATAAACATGTGGTTGTTCAATGCTATGGTTATGGAAACTCAGTTGCGTTTGTGCACGAGGGATTGGGGCATGCGGATCAGACGGCGTCTGGGTAGAATTGAGGCCTGGGCCGAGAAACAGGGTCTAGAACTGGCGGCAGAATGCCATCTAAGCAGGGTTATACAAGTAAGGGCAATTGCTTAATTTTACAAAATCTCTCTTTAATCTTTATTTGAAATCATTTGTTCTTTTTAAAATGAATTTAGTTTTTTAGTCAGTCAGTCAATCATTTAGTTTACTTTTCATTTAGGAAAATGATTATTATTCATATAAGACCATTATTGATATTATTGACACCAATTAGTTCACTCCACTCAAATATAATTATCAAAAACTTAAAATAAAAATTTAAAAAATTTAAAAAAATAAAAAAAAATGTTAAAAAAACAAAAATTTTAAAAAATTTTAAAATTAAAAAAAAAAATGTTAAAAAATTTTTTTAAAAATAAAAATAAATTTAAATAAAAAAAATTTTTTAAAAATTTTTAAAAAATATATCGTCTTTCCAAGCTTCATTGAAATTTTGCTTTATCTGATGTCTGTATATGTTTATCTTTAGGCTTCCAATCTTCTGCAGTCACCTAAGAGTACAGACGATGACCTAGCTGCCATCAGTTCCAAATGCTTCAAACTAAACTCCCTCCAGTTACAGGCCCTGCTCCAGAACTACATCCCCAGTTACGGAGAAAGAAAGATGTCGCAGGATCTCATCGAGAGGGTTGTCCGTGTTGCAGTGAACACGGCAGATGACCTCAGCAGAAATGATGGACGTCCAGTCCAGCTGAATGAGGATCCTGATCCAATGCTGCCATTCCTGCTGCCGGAGGATGGCTATTCATGTGACATCATACGTGGGATTCCCAATGGATTGCAGGAAGAACTGGCTCCTCTCTGCAAGGGTGGTATGTGTACTTTATGATATGTTATTTAGTATTCTAAAGGTGTGATTCCAGTCTAGTGACTATTCTTCTGAATAATTATACCATTATTTGTAATTTTCATCAATTCTTGTGTTTTTAGTTTTTAATGGTCTAATATATAAATGAAAAATGATCTCACCAGAATAGATTGATTGTTCTTCATAAGTGACTTCATCAAGTGTCAAAATATTGTATATATCTTAGTAATTTTTAGATATGCGATATTTGATATGATCATTTTTTATTTGTATTTGATCTAGGCCTGTGCCGCTTGACACCACAGCATTCTAGTACAGGAGACTGGACCATTCACCTGAGGAGGAGTGGATCACCAGGGGGAGAGGTATGTTGTTGCATCAATATCTTCGCTTTATAATATAACCTCGGGTGAGGAATGGTGTCAGTTACATTTATAGTTCATTTGTAATCCTTTTATTCAATTCAATAGTTCACTCACCTGTGAAATATTCTCACTCTATCATTGTAATCACTTTGGAAGATGTTGCTTAGCTAATGGATGAAACACTTCATTACGTCTTTGCCAAGACTGTGAACAGTTCTTGGTTTTGATAGCACAAAGAAAAGCACTTGTTAGAGAGTGTAGTGTTAAGAACAATGCATCACCTAACAACTGCTGTTTAGTGTTAGCAGAACTTTTGAAGAGCACTGTTGCACTAGTGTTGGATGATGTAATGATGTATTCAGTCTATGCATTTGTCAGAGTGGGGTTTGAATTGAAAGTTGCTCTTAGTACAAACTCAAAGACTATGAAATGTAGGCTTCTGACTTAAGCACTAATAGTAATACCTATTATTCAGTTTCAACACTTTTCTGTAGCCATCTGGGATGAATATCTGCATAGTTTTTACATGAATAAGTAGATGAATGAATAAGTAATTGAACAAATAAATAATGCAAATTATTAAATAATTAATAAGTAAGTGAACATATAATAAATTCTGTATCAACATTAATCATCAATATTCATGAGATAATGGAAAATTATAATATATTTAAAACTCAAAAAAACTCATATGTATTCTTCTTTGAATTGTCTTAAAATAGATGCTAATAAATAACTGTCTCATTGTGTATGCTTGGTCTTATATTTGTGTAGAGTTGAAGAAGTCGTCATTGCAGACAAAAAGACTGCACGAAAACTAAATAGTTTAAAAACTGATTGCCCATTAGGGTATAATTAGTTATCTAATGATATTGGCTCTAATAAATCAAAGCAATCATTATTATTGACAAATTAATGAACAGATAAATGAGCCATGTATGGGTAATTAATTATCTTTATGTGTAAGATAGCCTTAAAGCTGCTATCTTCTGACTGCCTATTATAATGTAGGTTGGTTTATACTGAAATAGAACTTTTAAAAAAAAAACTTTCCAACTCAGATTACAGATACTCACTGACAAAAACTTGTTAGTTGCAGTTCTATGTGTACATGTCATATGTCCAACCCATATTCATCCTTCTATTTCTTTTAAAAATTGCAATATCCTATGTTCTTCATTAACCATTTTCTGCTATACAGGCCATAGCTCCTGTTAGATGCTGTATTTTATGTGCCCAAGTTTTATACATAAAGCATTTTGATTGCCGTTTGTAGAATGTCTGTCACCTTGATTAACATGCGACATTCAATCATTCAACATCCAGTGATATTCCTTGTTTTTTACCAGTTTACTAGCTGATCCACAACATGGACAATGATGAACAATGTGGGTTGTTACAAAGTATTTTAAAAACTGTTTTGGAATCTTGAATAAATGATTGCAAAAATCGAGCATGTTGAACTTTGTAGAAATGTTACACAATTGAAAATCACATGCATGAATGAAATAAACCATTAAAATATCTTAATAATTTTTAACATTAAAACTGCAAATCACAATACAGTGGGAAAAAATAATTTATTTATAAATTTTGTTATTTCAAGAAATACCACCAGATTTTATCATGGGGAAAAAGAATTAGCCTTAAACTATGGAAGAAATCCTAATGTATAGTATGATAAGTTAATGTACTTGATACCAGTTTGTTCCTCTGATTTCTAAATTAATAGCAACAAATATTAATTACTTCTACTGATCTGTACAATTTCTCTTGCTACTAATCTTTCCCTAGTACACCAATCATGGATCCATTTTCCGATTTAATATCCTAAGCCAGGTAGAGTCTAAGACATCTTCAAGATTTTCTTTATCTTTGGTTTTACCTCTCACCTTACCTTTCTGCCTTGTACATTATTTTTTGTTCAAAATCTTTGTTAAATGTTTTGTAATTTCATATTTATAGTATCATCTGATTTGTATGAAATATATATATGTGTGGTTGATTTTATGTTGTCAATATTCTTAACTATAGAAATTTGTTTCTTACATACAATAATTCCTTTTTTTTTTCATTTTTAAAATATAAAAATTAGGTGGAGTGCTGATTTTTTTTTTATTAACATATTTTTGAATTCCAGTACAGATGTAATTTCATGATAAATTGGAAAAAAACATACAGTTTTTTTTAATATAAATTCTCTTGCCTTACTAACTTATTTGTGTTCTAAATATTTATTTCTCGCATAATTTGCATTTTAATTAAAATTGCAGTTCATCACCATCCTATGACCTCCACTGATCAATTTAAAAAAAACCTGCATTCCTGGAGTACTGACCTATTTGCCAATACTTGTCCAGTTGTTGTAATAAGCTTGCCAAGTTTTCCTCATGTCCTTTTTCAATTTCTCTCATACTTTTAAGTTATTTGTACTTATACAGTTGTAATGTATACATGACAGTGTTTTGTATACTTTCCAGTAGTCCTTATGTGCTTGTCCATTTGCCCTTGTGTACTAGAAATGTTTCTTGATTTACTTATGCCTTAATTTATATATCTTGGGCTATTGGTTGAGTAACCTTCAATTGACTGTGCATCTTATCTGCCTATGCAAACATCTGCATCTTATGTAATGCATGTTTTGAAGATGAAAAATATGAATGTAATGTGCTTTTATTGCAAGTTCTTCAATATTTCCTTATAAAAGAAAATACAGTTATTACGTTCTTCTATAATTTTATATTTCTAAGGATGTACTGTTTGTGTTTAAATCTTGCGCAAAACCCTCCAAAAAATCTCTTTAAAAAATAAATTGCTTATTGCAAAGGATCAATATCAATTCAATTTTCAAATCAAATCAGTTTATTTTGATTGATACTTTTTCCAGTACTCCTTAAATTTATTACCAGTCCATTTAACAACATGCAAAGCATGCATAATGATTCTTTTAAGTTGACAATGAAAGCATTTTCAATTGGAAGCTTATATAGTAAAGTGAGCAATTAAAAATTTGAATTTTACTGCTTATTAGTGTAACACAGACAGCATATCTTTATAGCATCCATTCTGAATGCTTTCATTTATTATGGAACCACAACATGTTTTGTGCGGTTTTACGAAAAATAATGAAAAAAATATTTGCATTTTGGTTCAAAGGGTATGAGTATGTTAAGCGAAATGAATAATGATAAATTAATAATAAATAATTAATGATGGTAATTTGTATTAATATGGATAGATTAATTGGACTTATTGTGTAGATGATGTACTTATAACAATACTTTTTCAGTTGTATTTCTTTTTCTTTTCTTCTTTTTTTTTAATTCTTTGCATTTTCCTACCATTTGTATCAGAACGGTCCAAACCAAGCAAGAATGCCACGTGAAGAGCCGGATGTGATCACAATAACCTTCCACAAACACAACACACCAAGTATGGGATTAAGCATCGTGGCAGCTAAGGTAAGCATTCACTTAATATCATGGAGCGGTGCAATGGTGACGGTTCCTTCAGTCAAGTTCTAAGATCATTTGCTCAGTTCAACCAAATTCAAGTTATTTGCAGTTGGGAAAAAATTTATAAATTACATGAATAATGTACAGAATTGAGATGAAATATCTGTGTACGAATGATAAGTTATAACTGTTACCTTTATTAATCTATCCATAGGGAACCCACCAAGCTAAATCTGGAATTTACATAAAGTCTGTGGTGCCAGGAGGAGCAGCGCAAAAGGTATTCAGAAATAAATATTCAATTTATAAAAAATAACTTACTGTAACTGCTAAATTATTAGGATAAAAAAATCATCTTCTAGAGAAAACAAAAAGAAATATGTACATATGATTGAATAAATCCACAATAGATTATTTGTTCTTCCGCATTCCCTTACATTCTATAACCAGTTGACAATTAAATTAATTTTCTCTGATATAAATAGGCTTTTATTGGTCTTAAGTAGTCACTGACTACATGACAAGGTGTTAATCTACCATATATTCTGGTTTTCATTACCATAGGATGGTCGCTTGGAAGCAGGTGACCAGTTGTTGAAAGTGGACGGCAACAACTTGTGTGGCCTAACACAAGAAAAGTAAGTGATGCTTTTATGGACAATGATAATTATCAATGTTTACCAATGTTTTACCAAGTTTACTGTTTAGTATAATTTCTGGAATTGAGATTTTATGTAACACTTCACTAATTAGCAAGCATTTTATTTTTTCATTAGAGCTGCACTGTTTCTTGTGAAGACTGGAAAGACTGTGACATTACAAGTTGCAAAGAAGGCTGCGGAGTATCATGACCTTTCAACTCTGCTCAGTCAACCGTCTCCTGTTATGCCAAGAGGTAAGTACATCAACACCATCAATACGCGGTTGTTTTATGTGTGGTACCTTGTTAACTAACATTGAGTTCATTCACTAATGTATTTAAACAGTTGACTCACAACAAATTATTGCATGTGAGTACACATCACATGAATATTAGCCAATGGGCATAGATCAAAATTATGCTACAACCAATTATTGCATGTGAGTACACATCAAATGTGAATATCGCCCAATAGGCATAGATCAAAATTATGCTACAACCAATTATTGCATGTGAGTACACATCACATGTGAATATCGCCCAATAGGCATAGATCAAAATTATGCTACAACCAATTATTGCATGTGAGTACACATCAAATGTGAATATCGCCCAATAGGCATAGATCAAAATTATGCTACAACCAATTATTGCATGTGAGTACACATCAAATGTGAATATCGCCCAATAGGCATAGATCAAAATATGCTACAGCCTTCATCATATCTAATATCCTATCTGGATGGAGAGCTTATTTTGAACTTCGCTATAGGAGGATTAATGATTTAAATGCGAGCCCACCAAATATGATGGCAATAAGTTGTGAGACAGCCTTTTTAACACATGTGATATCTATCTATTCTATGTCAAATATATTTAGGAATATTATTACAATACTTATTATGAAAACTTTAGGTTATGCTTGTTAGAAATCTTAACTTGGTGACTGATTCTAATGATATCTGCTGAACCTTATCTTTACTGACTCTGCTGGCTGTATTAGTTAAAATATTATAATCAACTGTATGTAGAATGTATTCTGGGCTGTCTGATTACAGGTAAATTCCCTTGACTAAACTCAATGCTTTTTAACACAATATAGTAGAACCTCGTTTTTACGTACCTCAGTTTTTCTTACGGATGAGGGCGTCATCAAAAAACCCCAAAATACTCTAAACATACTCCTCTTTTCATGGCCGCCATAATGTAAAAAGAGATTTGTTAGTTCTATCTGTTTATTATTTCAATACTGTAACAATAAACAAACCATATGCAAAGAATTTTCATTCAACAACAGCGTTGATTGTATCTAATTACGAGCTGATATGATCTAAAACCACATGGACTGAGCTAGATGAACTAGGCCTACTGTCGGTGTGCAAAATAATTTCCTTCTTACTTACCTTCTTCGTGTGAAAAACTTGTCTGATCGAATTTTCTACACAAAGTTTACTAAGCTGGGTAAGCATAATTTTGCTCACCCAGTGTAGTGCACGTGGCTTTAGTTAGTCTCAGCACGCCCAGACAACAACGCAGCTCTGTTGCTTAGAATAGCCCTGAGGGGAATTCCCAAGTTATACCTGTCGTATAGGTAATCTTACAATATTTTCATGTTCTTAGTTAAATAAAAGATGAATTAAATACAAAGACACATGGTTTTATTAACACTTTATTATGACATTGTAAAGTGATGAATAAAAATACTAAACAAAGGGTTTTATTTGTAGGCCTAGGCCTACAGCTGTTTGTAGGCCTAGGCTATGTCCCATACCGTACGTAAAGCCGAGGTTCTACTGTATATATATATATATATGAATGTATGTAAATGTGATAAAGCATGAAAGTAAGGAAGTGAATGATGATAACAATGAGTCAAACAGCTGCACTAAAACCACCACAGTTCCTGCACACTCCCGCCCCCTCCCTTTTTTATGATAATTATAATCACTCATTAATATTCAAAAACTGAATATGGACAGGATTTGGTAAAGGCTGAAAGTAATAATGTTTTTAAACTGAGTTAGGAGATATGTTGTGATTTGTTTGTTGTAGCACATAAAGGAGAGCGGCAGCCAAGACCAAAGAGTGAAGATTTCTTGCGTGCAGGCCATCAACACTCTCCAAACCAACCATGGGATGACGACCGACCGCACGACACAAACAGCATGCCACGACACCACGCTTCAAACTTCATCAATGCGGCCAACAAGGCCCGTTCATCACCTAACCTAGCCGAAGACCCAAGAACGGCTCCACCGCAACAGCGACATAATGAAATGCGCCCTCGCGAGAATGAACCCTACAGACGACAATATACAGCCAACACGATTGAAAGAACAACGCGTGGTTCTTCTCCCGCTAGTACCTTGGATAAAGCCAACAAAGCTCGTTCTTCGCCTAATCTATTGGGTAATTTGCATGTTTTGTCTCAAAAAATATAATGTTTAAAATAATTATATAGAATAACTACATAAAGCTCTGGTTTATACTCCAGTTATTTAAAGTAAATTTAAATTTTAGCTTTGCTTTTATTATTGATTATGTATCTTAACCAATTTTCAGCCCTCATTTCATATACCAATGTTGTTTTCAAGCAAAACATGAAGAATGACAATGAAATATAATATCATTTATCAAAATAAGCAAAAGATGTATTGTCTAAAAAACAATTTGATGCAGTAAATAACACAGCATAGTGTATCACATAGTTACACTCGCCTCCTCACCCGAGCAAAGCCGCCCACTTGCATGTCATGCCATATATATTACTTTATACAATGCTTTTAGAATAGTTATTTAGAGCTACAGTATTCTAATTGTGACCTCTGACCCAAAGCTGTTGAATCACTACTGGCACTTGTATTTTCCATAAGCCATTGTGGTCTAGTAATATGACATTCACTCTGTGCAGAAGGGTTCTGGTTTGAATTCAGGTGGAGGCTGATTTATACTCTCATATTTTTTTACTGTCTCTACATTAGTATTTGCATTATTTTTTTGTGTGTTTTCTCATTATATATGCACACATTGAATTGTATGTCATGTGTATATGTATACTTTTACCTTTATTTTTATTTTCATAGAGTATAAGATAATAATAATGCAATTTTTTGGTAAACAATCACTCATGAGTTGCATATACATGTCGGCGGAGAGTCGGCAAGGGAGTGCAAACAAATGAGAACGTTAATGCTTTAATATTTTGAAATACCATAATTAAACTTGATATTTTATCCAAAAACTACTATAGATTGAATTAATAATATCTCAGAAAACTAGGTCCAGTGTGCTAAGCTATGAAAGGCAGTAATGTTGGAAGTGATTGACGTTATAATTAACATTATTTATTTTTTTGCATTGCAGTGGAGCAAGATTCTTTCCCATCTAATCCAAGCATTTATGCGTCTATCAACAAAGATAATAGACCACGAATCATTTCTACCTCCAGTCTTCGACCCCAAGATCAGAGGTCAGTACTTGTGATGTTTGACTAAAGAATAATTGGTCATTTTTAATAGACAAAAACACCTCCTCTTGCCTGTTGAAGATTTTGGATATATTTCTTTTAAAATAAAGATATTTCTATAAATGTTTTAATTTATTTCAATTTTATTTTTTATATAGAATTAAATATGAGAGAATACTGTGTCATTATTTCAGTTTTATAGTATTTTGATATTAGAATGCATTAATGGCCATTAAAACACACCTAAATAGATCCCATTCATTTGATTGGTTGATTTTATACCATGTTACATTAGTTATATTCCTCATTTCATTAGTCATTAAAATTTTGTTCCACTGTGCATTTTTTTTCCACCCATATTGTCCATTGCACGTTGTCTATAGATACGAAATGACTTCAACCTAATACAACCTTTTGATTGATTAAAAAGATGCAGGACTGACTTTTTCAGGAAGGTTGAATCCATAAAATGACGTCACGTCAACTATAACCTCTACTTATAAGCCTATTTCTTGCTACTGAACTTGTCTTAGCGGTGTGCAATGTATCAGAGATTTTGTTTGCTCAGGAGTTGTTATTGTTTTCTGTAAAGTATTTTAATTTTGTGGATGATACCTCAAAAGGTAGCTCAAATTTGCACAAAATCTGTGTGGAATTCGGCCCTTATATTCCGAAATGCGCGGATGGATTCTTTTATAGGTCTAGCCCTAGGTAGAGCCTATAGAATAGGACGTAGGTTGTGTGTGGAGGATAGGCCCAGGCTAGGCTAGGCCGAACTGATTCAAGCAGATGGGTTTGCGGGCCCAAAGATGGAGTGAAATGTTGGTCCACAGCCAAGAAGGGCCTATAGCCTATTAATGGAACAGTCAATCTTTCAACTCATGAAAATATTCTTTTTATTGCACTCATAAAAATTCATTATTTGTATATTGTTGGCTAATTAATTTAAAGAGAAAAAATATATGCATGTCATAATGATAAACAATTTTTATCATTTCAGAATGAATAGTCTACAACGTGATGCACCGCGTTCTCAGTCTGTATCCCAGCTTCCTCCTGGTGAAAATTACATGGCAAGACCAGGTGGATCGATGAGCAACTTACAAAGACCACCACAGCAGCGCTATCCACAAAATCCCAATTACGCAGATATACAAGTACAAGGTCAACGGCCTATGGATCCACGTATGCAGAGGCAGGATTACTACCGCCATCCAGATGATCGACGACCACCCGGTCAGGATTACTATGGACAGGAACCACAGAGAATGCCTTCCCATTCACCGCAACCAGGGGAATATATTCCGGGACCAGGTGGTCGTTACCCAAGCCAACAGGATCTACGTGGGCAGCAAGACCCCAGGTATCAGCCAGGTGGTTACCTTGGAAGCTACTTATCACAGCAACAGCCTTATCAGTTAGGCCTTCAGCAGAATCCTCTTCATTATGCATCAGACCATCGGCTTAACAAACCAAAAGATGACTATTGGGCTGCTGGACAATCACCAGATCATGCCAGCAATTATAAGCAAGTACCATCTCAACAGATGGAAGAGGATAAGAAAAAAGCAGCCATGGAACGATACCGACAACGTGTGGCCAAACAGCAGCTTGAACAACAGCGAGGAAGACAGACACGACCTATCGAAGCAAAGCGTCTTACAGAAGCTGCCGGGCCTCGTCAGCCAGGCCGGGCTCCAGGCCACAAAAATGCGTATGCACAGAGGGAAATTCCTCCTTCAGATACTGACCGCCAACAGCACACATCCGCACCAAAGAACCCCAATAAGATCCAGGCACCAGTTAGAACTACACCTTTACAGAGTAAACCAGGTAATACTAACTCTCTGCCAAGAACTCAAAAACCATCAGCCACAAACAATAAAGGAGGGTACAATTCAGCTATCCAAGAATTGAAGGAAAAGCAGTCTTACGGTAATCAGTCATGGAAAGTAGAGGATGAGGGTGATCGAGAAAAACGTTATGAAGAGGAACTTGAAAGAATGCGGTATGCAGAGATTCAGGACCTCTCACAGATGCAGTACAGATCTCCAGAGCAGAATGATCGGTTAGAAAAGTTGATGCTGGAGCATGACTTCCAAATGAGACTCAAGAGCTCAATGCAAGATTACTCCGATGATGATGAGATTCCTCCAATGCCTAGAGATGAAGCTGAACAAGAGCGCCGCCTGCAAGATCTTCAGAAAGAACGGATGAAAGAGCAACAGATCGAAGAGATGCACCGTGAGAAACAACAAAGAGAGGAAGAAAACCGTCGTTTGGAAGAACAAAGGATGCACCAGCAGAGAATTGAAGAACAGAGATTAGAACAGCAAAGATTGGAACAACACAGGATGGAACAGCAGAGAATGGAACAGCAGAGAATGGAACAGCAGAGGATGGAACAGCAGAGGATGGAACAACAGAGGATGGAACAACAGAGGATGGAACAACAGAGGATGGAACAGCAGAGATTGGAAGAAGAGAAACGGCAAGAGGATGCCAGGGTAGAACAGATGTTGAGGCAACAGGAAGAAGAGATGAGACAAAGGCATGAGCGACAACGACAAGAGCAAGCCCGGCGTGAAGCTGAAATTGAGAGAGAACGTCAACGACTAGAGAAGCAGATGGCTTTCAAAGATGAACCTGCAGAACGAGCAACTGAACCGTATCAACCAAAACCATACACACCAAAACCAGTTGATCCTGATGTCCTTGGGTACATGCCGAACCTAACAAGAGCTGACCTTTCTTCTGATAATTACCAACAGAATGGAAACCCTGATCCTGTCCCCCATGTACCCCTTGCAATACCAAAACCAGCTACTAAACCCAAGCCTCCAGTTAAAGCAAAACCAACCATTACCAATGATAATAATTCAAACCACAACCACAATGGTGGTGATGAGTTTGGAACACCTCAGAATTCGCAAAATCTTAACACTTTCAAGGTTGGCGACACCCCAACAGTAATTGGCTCCCAGGAAGTCTACAAAGATCCTCGTGCCAAGATCCTTGCGGCAAAAGATCCAGGTTCACCCAAGCCTGAAGAGCCTCAGAAATTATCTTTCCAACAAAAAATGGTGATGTTCCGTAAGGAAGCTGGTGAGAGGAGGACACCCAAGGAAAGACCTCGTTCATCCAAATGGGAAAGAGAATTCCTTGCTGAAAACCCTGGCCTAAGTGAAGGTGATTAATGTACGGCAATCACCATGATTATCATATACAACAGCAGCAACTCAGTTGGAAACCTTCAATTGGTCATTTTGGAATTATAATTATTAGAACATATAGTTGTGAAAATTCCTCAAATAATTTCCAATTTTTTTTTTCTTGAAAATTATTATTGTTGATGCTAAAGCATTATAATACCCAAGTATATTCTCAACCAAGAATTTGCAACCAAGTTGCAACTTGAATCGTGTATAAGCCTACTAATGAAGGAACGGTGGTAGTCCGTGTTTTATAACAATTGAAGTGCCTTGTATAAAAAAAATAGCCCTATAGGTCAGTTTCTAACGCTATATACAGTATACAGTCCCTATAGCGCTTGTAAAAATGCGTTATCAGCCTTTGGCACCATCCAATCTTAACCCTCTTATGATTACTGCTTCTATGTAGATAATAATAATATTAATAATAATAATAATAGAGCAATTTTGTATAAAAGAGTATAACCCAGCTCAGATATTTTTGACTCATTATGCATATGTAATTTTTGTTAATTACTTGTATACTCTTTGGATTTTGGTGATGGAGTACTGTAGTTCATTCATTATAGTATTACATTGAACATTAGTTTATGGAAGAGCAAGAAATTGTGTTTTATATAAATATTAATAATTGAGTGATCATTAATTAATTATTGATATCAATTCTGTAATATTGATATCTGTAATTAATATTTTTTAATAATTACTGAAAACAATTGTATGTTATTGATAACAGTAGATATAATTATGGTATTGATTATTTTGCATAGGTTCCACATTTGGCTTGTTTTTAATAATTATTTACATAATTGTATGTTGTCAGATGTGTTAATTATTTTTTGCTTGGAATTCTAGTACATTTTCTTTTATAATTTGATCTTTGGATGTTGACAAAAATGTTTGTTGGTGCTTGTCATCAGTTGAAAGCAAAAACCAAAACCAGAACATTTTCACATTCTTAATTACTGTATTTATTTTCATGTATAATAAACGTTTACTATGCCAACACATTATCACTGTAATTTTGTAGATTTTAAACTTAAGATTTGTACAATAACATTGCACTTTGGTTTTCTATTGCTTTATTAAACCAAGCTCCTTGATTGAACTTGGGATGAATTTTAACTTGTTAATCTCAATCAAAGATAGCGTTCTCCGCGATTTACGCGTGCAATTTCAGTAATAACGCATGAACGGCGCCCTCTTGCAGAATTGAAAACTTTTGAACCTTGACCGCTCTGACCATAGCGTACGCCGCGCGACTTTACGTTTACGCGTAACAATTAGAAGCGTCCGATTTACAATGCGCCTTCTCTTTATAACATAAGGAACAAATTAACGTACTTCGTAACGAACTTTGGCGTAACGCGAACACCCTATTTCAGATCCATGGCAATGACTAGGACGCCCTCTCCCAAAACTGATTACTTTTCTGCGCCAAATCGACGCTTCTATTTGTTATGCGTAAAATCGCGGAGAACGCCATCTTGTGTTTATAAGAACTTTGATCTCAAATGATCCATTACAGTAGATTACTTGCACATAAACAATAATGATTTATAATATTGCGATGGTTAATGACAAACACAAATGTATATGCCAGCAGTTTGTATAATTTTGAGGTGTACATAAGTATATATTACACTATGTTATAGAAATATTTACCAGTGACTGTTGAGTGTGTGTGCGTCGTGATAGAAACATATACGACTGTTGGATTCCTGCTAGGTTAAATACATCATCTGATGGTTATTATCAGTGTGAGTAAATTTTCAGAATCAAAATCTGTTTCAATTGATTTTAATATGAATGGAATGCTAGCTTAAGTGCTAATCAGATCAATAAAAAGTCTCTACAGGATTTGTCAGCTATTAATTAACCAATCAAAATGTGGCTAATTAGTGAGAATTATTTTAATGCATATGTGACTAAAATGAAGTTAATTCATTTGGGAATTATCTTGATAGTTGTAATCTTATTTAAAGGGTTATTTTGTTAAATAAAAATATCTTTTCTCTGTATGAATTTTGTAATGAACAAAACAAAATAAATCACTACATGTAGAAGAAAAAATAAAATTCATGATTGTTTTGAAATTAAAATATCTAAAATCACGTTACCTATGAAAGTTCAAAGTTCAAGTTTGAGAGACAAATCACTGTAAATTTGTAGATTGTGCTGTTGCTACCTGGTTTTAAAATACAGGCACTTTCAAAAAGAAGCCAAGTTTGAAAGCGCAAACAAAACAACCATGTGTTTACTGGTTGTATATTGAAGATGTTATCTTTGTTTTGAAATTCACTTTAATTTTGACGTTTGCTACAATGGCCATTAATCGTTTTTAATGAACATAGCACATACAGTTTGAACAAGGAAGCTGGAGTTAATAAAATTTCTAGTTGTTTTCGTGTTTGGCATAATCTTGTTGATATAACACAACTAACAGACATGCAACTAAGTTTATGTATTTTAGAATTTGATTTATTACTATAGCTCAAAGAAACACATTTTGTAAATAAATATTCAATAAAAATTTTAATATGCAAACTTGCTTTTGAATTTTTTGTTGAGATTGACTTAATTGTATGTGAGATTGTAAGTTTGTGAATAGAGACATTGCATTCCTGGCTGAATTTGACACCTAAAACCAAACTACTGTATTGCAATTTATTAGTTTGAAGCATGCAGGTCTAGCTTTTTTTATGTCTACACAGTGGCTTCTTGAAATGAGATGGGGGATTAGGGGTCAGCGTGAAAGTGAAGTGGGGGATGTTTCCCCTCCCCTGCATCAACCTAGATATGCCACTGTGTCTACCCAATGTCAACACATACATGGAAAGGACTGAAATCAAGAATATTAAAATAATTAAGTACTTCAAAACAATAATGATATGTTTTAGAAATTTCCAAAAAACTTCCGTTAATTTGCATAGATCTGACATGCCTTCATATTAAATACAGTAGGCCTACTCAGTTTCAAAAAATAATGTATACAGTACGCTGTGTAGTCGGAATACAACTTACATTTCATTGCTGAAGGTTATGTACATTTTTTAAGTATTTACAGCATGCACGGAAGAAAAAGCATCTCGATAAAGAAATTGTGGAAAAATTTGTATTTTACCATTTCGCAACACACTATTAATAACACAAAATAAAATATGAATCATTTATTAAGGCGTAATAAACTTCCATGTTCAGTTCACGGGTCAGCGCTAGCATGGATCTGGGGGTAAAGGACTCCCGTCGGGGACCTGTGGTCTCCCCGTCGGGAAATCTTCAGCAAGATCGTCGGGGAAAAATCAAATTACTAACCAGTCAAATTTTATAGACTAAAACTGTTTAGTGCCGGAAGTGCTACCGTATGTGGTATGTGCGAGGTGTTGTAGTGGTGGCGCCAGCTTTTTTCCGACATTTGGCCGGTACCTTCAATGGGCTTAGTAAACCCTGAAGGGGGGACTCTTCACTTGCATGGTTTGCTATAAAATTATTCTTTCTAAATAAAGAATCCCATAATTAACACAAAATTTTATTATTTTTAACTGGTTCAGTTATAGATTGACAAATATGGGTGCTTGTTGCCCGGCCCACACAATCGGTAAGAATGCCAATGCCGAAAAAGTGGGAAACCGTTGTCCATAAGAAAAAACAAAAAAAAAACAAAAACTACTAAAGAACACAACTTTTACAACAGTCTAAACTCGGAGCGCCGTTTCTGATTTTCTCACCTCAGCCCCAAACATTGGTAAATAGGCCTACCCACTCTCTGAGGTAAGGGTTTCAAATCTATCTGCAGGTCAAATCTATCGGCGAATCTTTATAATATTTACTTAATTTGACCTCCATCCACATATAATTTCCACATTATCATATATTTATCCTTTTTCTTATAACCTAACTTTATTTTTTATGATAATTATAATGCTAATTATTTACGACGTATCGGTATTAGTTTTATCATTACTACCTATATAAAATGAAAATATATAAATAAGAAATATTTATGTTGCTTACAATAATGTGTACAGAACTTAACAAATAAAGCAATGCTAGCGTATACGGCCTTGTGTAATAAATTAATATATTTATAATAAATATTAAGCTTAACAAGTATGTTGTATTTTATCCTTTGAAAGTAATTATTTAAGCATGATCGTCAGTGTAATACGAAACGTTGGTGAACATCTCTTTAACAAATAACACTTTCTTTAAACTCTCATGGTACAGATCTCTCAAGTCAACAATATTTGCCATAACATCGAGTTTGTTTTCTTCTATTGATGGTTTATCACAACGATTGATGACTTCAACCGCAATATACATGATCTAGCCCAATTATATCACAGTGTCCACTGGTGGAACTTTCGGGGGTGTCTGGCGGGACATATCCAGCGGATAATTTGTCTGGCAATATACTTTTATACTTAGTAGAGTATGTTTGTCAATTCTAAGTTGATTTAGGACCCTTTTGGGGGTGTCTGGCGGGACATATCCAGCGGATAATCTGTCTGGCAATACACTTTTTATACTTAGTAGAGTATGTTTGTTAATTTTAAGTTGTTTTTATGTGGTATCTCCAAAACATGATCTAGCCCATTTTTCAGCCCCTTAATTGGTGCTCCAGGGGGCACACCCAACAGGGGGTCCCTGGCAGACGTCCATATATTGATATGTTATGTTACATAATAAATGTTCTTGTACTCGGATATTGGTACCTTGTTCGTTTGATCAAATTGTTCTTGGCTGCCGCTCTAATACCTGTGCAAAGTGTTGGAACAGGTGTGTGCATAAAAATATATCGGATGGCCAAAGTGAACTTTGGATTTAACACCGAGAGGGCCGCACCCAAACTTCGATGTTTCCAATGCGCTTCCGAAAATCTTCATGCACTGCTTATACCGCTTTATGTGAAGTTTTTATATTGCTATTTACATGATAAGTGTCGGGCCGTAAAAAAACAAGGTGTTTTATAGCCAAAAGGTTGCCGCACAGATAGGTCTAGGGTTTTTAATTAATTTTCGCGGCCCGCAAAAAAAATCCCGCTGGCCGCAATTTTCTCACCTGTTGTTTGGAAAGTTGTGAGTTTGAAAGTACTGATTTTATAATTAGTATATGACTTTTTTTGAAGTTTATTGTAGCCTCCCTTACATCTCCATTTTCTGTAAAATGTTTTGAATAATTTAACTTGAACTCGTTGTTGGCGTTATTATCATTTATTTTTTTCAGATTCGGCAACAATACTGAAAGTACAGTAATGAAATGTTACCAGGGAGACTGGATCAGTTGAAATGCTCCACCTATACTCCCTAAATATGAAAAATAAGAATAAGAAAAAAAAATACCCTCAAATATAAAACTGTGGAGAACATGAATAAAATGAAGCATGAATAAATATCCGTCCATAGCTGATAACATAACATAACACAAAGTAGATCAAACTGGAGTATTATTATATATCCGAATATTTTCCCGAGGGAGGACAGCAGTTTACAATTGTAAACAGATTTTAAAATATGATAGCATAATAATACTGTATATACAGAGATGTTCAGTTAAATATTGTTTAGTATTATTATTATTTATTATTGTTATTGTTAGTATTATTATTGTTATTACTGCATTCGTATTATTAAAATATTGAGAATAGCCAAAGTTGACGCGAATTAGCCAATGTTAACGCGAAATAAGCCCATTGGTCAGGAGAGAGCAGCGCGTCAGAGCATTGGATAGCGCCCTCTGTTGATAAGGAGATGAGAGTACATGTTGTTTGGCTTGTTTTCTTGTTTTTATTCAATTATCTGCTGAATCAATGAAATAAGAATGATTTTGCGAGGTATATCCCGTTTATTAAGACCAAACATTTATATTAATGTCAACATAACTTCTGCTATCCACGGAACAGATTTCGTAGGCCCAGACCTAGGCCTAGGCCTACTCCAGACAAGAGCTGCCCAACAAGTAGGCAGAAGGCTTTCAAGCCTCGTCGTAGGACACACACCAGTTTATGGGTTTGCCTCATTGAATACTCTAGGCCTCAGACAGCTGCTTTCGCAAGTAGATTTAACAAACAAGTCGAAAGGTAGTGTACTTAATTATCTTATTTCCAGCTACACCCCTGCATTCAATACGAGCGGATGAAATTAAAATAGGCCTAGGGCCTACATAAAAACAAGAAAATCGTGTTTTTATGAATTGTCCTACTGTACTAACTAGGTATACATTGTTTTATGAGCCTGAGGCTTAACTTGAATTTGATTTTGTTCACACAGTGGCTACTACTACTATAATTTAGCTATGCTGCTCACACTAATATATTTATCACCATTGTGTTTCAATTGTAACACTGGGGCGGATACAAGATTTGGTGGTAGGGAGTGCTAACAATCCACACCACCTCAGCCTCAACCATGGTGGAATTAATACAATTTAAGCGCCCACCCCTTCTGTTTGCCAAAGAAACATTCTCAGTATTGTAACTTTGGCTTGCTCTTAATTTTTGAAAGGCTCAATCTCCTCAACTCAGCTGACACAAAAAAGATTCTACGCAAGCAGAATAAAACCCAAGAAGAAAAAGCCAGGTAGGCATTGGTCACATTGTGTAGTATCTTAATGAAAATTATGTGAGAGAAAAAAATCAAAAATAATAAGTAGACAGAAACAAACAAATACTGTATGCAGAATACAGTTGAACTTGCCTAAGTCGAATGCAAATTTTCACTGAACACTTGCACAATTGACACTCTTGTAAAAGACCGACTTAGAAAGAGTTAGGCAAAGTTAAGTCAAGTTTTACCGACTTAGAAAGAGTTAGGCAAAGTTAAGTCAAGTTTTACTGTAATCGTATTCATATGGCTGGGCTATGAGCATGGGAAGTAACTATTCCCTACTCCAGCCATACATGTCAGTCTTGGGCATTGTCAAAAAAGGAAAATCTATTATGTGTGTTTTTTTAAATTTATTTTTCACCAGAGCTTTTATGAACATAGTATAACTAAAATTTACTTTTGCAATCAACAGTTAAAGACCTGGAGCCAGTTATTCATAACCTTGACAGGTATTACGGCCTAGAACCATCAAAACCAAAACTTTATTTTGAAGAAGTTGAAGCCTTAAATAGGTGAGTATCATTATAGTAATAGTTGTCATCATCATAATTATCTTTTTTATTTTGTGTGTAGTTACAATTGCCTAGAATACTGGTACTGATGGTAATTGGGATGTGCATTGGCAGGCTATTTTCTGATGATTGTAGAGATGATTGAATTGAACCAGGGATACAAGCAGTGTAGCACCAATAGGTGGGAAGAGAGATAAAATGTTCCAACCGAAGTCATTGCAGTTCCTTAATATTGTGTTCTGAAATCATTTTCCCCCATTCTAAACCCTGAAATTTCTACAGAATGGGACAATTGTCCCTTTGACCTCCAGTTTACCTCTGACCCTGACCCTCGGACTTAACTGGCCCTTTGATTCGGATTCCTTGTTGGCAGCTTTCTGGAACCATCTCTTGATACAAGGATATACCTATCTTCACGAATGTCAGTCAACTCGAGCGGATGCCAATTCGAGCAGATTCATTTAGTGCGAACTGTAGTCTGACACAGGGGCGGATCCAGTAGTAGTAGAACCCTCTCCCCAGATTTTGCCACTAAATTTTAAAAATTTCAATGCATATTAATGTTATGTGCTTCTCAATTATCTATTCTGAAACTGTTCTGGATCCGCCCCTGTGACACGACTATCAACAGTACAGTAATAATGACATACCAATTTTCTCCACTATTCACCATTCATCTATAGTTCAAAACTCACTGTTTTTTAAAACATGTGGAAAGAATAACAATGACTAAGTAAGATAAATTATTATTTTTATGAACGTAAGCATGTTTAATTGTAAATTGTTAACCTAAAAATCAATTAACTATGACTTTCTATACATAAGGCTATAGGCTTCTCCCCCAGAACCCACCAGGGCTTTTCCCCTGGCTCCCAGGCAAAGCTTGAGCCTCGGCCGAATGCAAATGGTTAGCTCAAAATAGGAAATTTTAAAGTAATTCGTACATAACTCGCACAGGCTGTTGCTCGTACGAGTGGATCTTTTTCCACTCGAACTAGCATCCGCTCGAAGTAAATTCCGCTCGAACTGGCACCCCCTCGAATTGACTGGTTCCCATCTTCACAGACAGTTAGTGTTTTTATATATTATATTGTGGTTTAATATTTTGTAGGTATTGTCATCGCATGAAAAAGTAACTTTATTTTGAATAGATAATATATAAATAATAACACTGGGCTTCCACCAGTTTAAACGTCATTCTCATTAATGATAATGCATTATCAAGTGTAATTGTAACATTCATTAGTGTCGTTTTCCAAGTACTTACTTTAATGTTTACATTTTAGCGCCAATGATGATATCAAGAAAATGTTCAGCCTTGAATTTGCAAGTAATGTAAGTATTTTGTGTAATAGTAATATTATTAAATCATTATAATCTTTTTTTATTATCTTTATCATCATCCTTATTGTTATGCAGGGTAATTTATTGCAATAGCCACTGACATCATGAGATTTGGAAATTAAAAAAGGTGGAGAGAATGTGACTGTTGAGTTAACAGATGAGTGCTAACTACTGAGTATTACATCATCACACTCTTTCTTTCAGGCTGAAATCAAAGAATACAAATCCTGCAAATTGTTGGAGGAAATCAAGGAAGAGCTAGCAATCGATCCACATGCTCACAAAAAAACACTCCCATTAAGAAGTAAGGAAAATATTTTACTACAGATAAGGATGAATACTTCAGGGCCCATCTTGTCATGTCTACTTCATTTTAATTCTTTCGCATGTGATAACAAATACATTCACAGGGTGTAACGATGCCCTATAGTGAGTGGAGTGGTTTTATTACCATTTGAATCCAGAACCTTGTGTTTTGGAGAGCAATCATCTTAATCACCAAGCTACAGAAGCATCAGAGTAGAGACAAGAATCTATTTTAAACTTCAACCATATTTTTTTTCCAATCAACTATCAATTTAGTAATAGAATAATATAATTTTTAATTTGTATTTTTATTGATTTTAGTTGCATTGTTGACAATGGCAGTCAGGAATTGTGGGAAACATGTTATAAAAAATCCAAAGGTATGTAAAATAGTAAGTTTAGCATTTCAACATGATTTAATTAAACTGATAGCAGACTACAATTTTTAGTCCTTTTTGCTTTAGTAGCACCATTGTGCTACACTCCTGTTGGAATAGTTTTATATTAGCTAAATGTAAAATAAATTTAAGTTTTTTACATATGATTTTTTGCAGGACAAAGCGAACAAAAGGAAAATGCTGATCAATATTGATCGACGTCGCAAGTTCCTCAGGAGGCTACGGCGGCAAAACTACAACCAGTTTGAGAACATTCAAAGAGAGCTTGGTATCAAATGGGTACCGACTCCTAAGTTTGAATGGTTAACAAAAACAAGGCGGCAAATTGAAAGGAGACTTATTAAGGACAAAGCACATTGGGAGAGAATCGCAGCACAGAAGGAATTTGCAAAACAGCGAAGGAAGGAAAACATGATTGAAATTGTACGATTGAAGAAAGAACTTGGTAAAGACCTGACAGAGGAAGAGAAGCAATATGATCAAATAAATAACAATATTTAAAATCAACCTCTGATAATTATTATGTTTAATTGATTTGGTATCAAACAAAAATATCATAGCATACAAGTTTTGTATAAACATACAAATTATTGTTTTTTTTCCCTACTTTTTTTCCCCTTACAAAACTTTTTGGGAAATAAACTGAATGGTTGAACGAATTGTTTCAGTTATCTTAAAATTTATAATGTGCTATATAACTTGTACTCAATTTCAAACAAACACATGTTTGTGTTTTTGTATTTTCATCTTTATATTCCATATTTTCTTGATAATATGGACCAGGGTGGGTCTGTAAAAACCTGCTGTAAGTTAAAGCCAAATTGGTACTGATGGAACCAATTATGGGAAGGCACCTACATTTCAATACTGAGTTAGTAGCCAGTTTTGCATGTGCTGGACAAAAACAGAGATCTTGCCAGTAATTTAGTCAATCCATTTAATTGGGAATGATAGCACTAAATAACTAGTGCATAATACAGATGGCTTAAATTTGTGCAAGTATATCTGTAATGTACGCGTTGTTCTTTTCTTTGACTTCTGCCTTCAGTTTGTCCACTGCAGCTACAGCTTCTTCTACAGACATGCCCTCCATTTCAATTGCTTTAACGTTCTTCAGAAAGTCTTTAATAATCTCCTCACCATCCTAATTTCAAAGAGAAAACAGATATTATTGCAATCAGTGGCACATCAAGGAATCTGAAATAGAGGGGGCCCAGGGAGGGACTTTGACAGATGGAGGGTCTATACCACCTCAGCACCACCATGGTTGGGTCTGAGGTAAGAAACTTTACGGTTATATTATCGGAAATGGCACTCTCAGACTTGAAATTTAAAAGTTATTTTCTTTTTTCTCCAATTTTTTACAATTTTGAAAAATTTAAGGATACCCGGACCAACTTTTTTTTTTTTGGGGGGGGGGGGGGGGGCCCCCCTTTGGGCCACTGTCGATATTGTATAAAACTGATATTTCGATAGTATATTAAAATAACATTTACTTTAAAGCATGATTTTATTTAAGTTCACCTTTTTGGCAAGTCTTCTCTTCTTGGCTGCGGGTTCATCGTCCCCTTCCATGCCCCCTACTGGCGTGGACTGGTAGTCCTCCAGCTCAGCTGCCTTCTGCTTGGCAAAATTTATCACCTTCTCTGGGAAATGTGCTAATTCGGCTACATGGATGCCAAAACTTTGATCACACACTCCTTGAAACATCAATAAAAAATATTAGGTAGCTTTCATCATGGAATTGTGGCGATGGACAGATTGTCTCCAAGATTATGCGGAGAGTGGAGGGCTGTGTCGAGATGACCCAACACCTTGGTTGAGGAGACAGATGATGATGATTCACCCACAGAAATTTCATCAGGCCTAGTGGCTAAGATTGTAAGCAAGATTCATAACAATTGTAACATTGCATGAAGTGCAGTACTGCCTGTCTGAAAGCTAAGAAAGGTGGCAATACTCATATAATCCATTGCTTCCCTTTTTCATAAATATGTTTATTACCTGCACCATAAGGAAGAACAAAGTGATCACACTGAATGAGTATACATATAATGAAGGTTTCCAGTGGCAGCCCCAGCATCTGTAATCTGGGGGGGGGGGCGTGCAAGGTCCCTGACGAGAGTAAAGTAAGCATGTTGAGCCCCTAAAAAAATGACAATTTAGGAGTTTCCAAGGCTTATTTAATCGATTTTATATAAAGATTGTCTACTAATATGTAGAAAATACATATCATTTTTTTTTGTCCCCAATGTATTGTGGTTTTTCTTCGTTTTTTTTTTTTTTTTAAATTTTTTTTGAGGTGGGTGGGGAAAGAAAATTTTCTGGTGGGGAAATGTCCGCCTTTCCCCATAGCAAGGCCACTGAAGGTTTGTTTACCCACCTGGTTTCACCTTGTACAGCAACGTAAAGGTGTCTTTGGTAGTGAGAGCAGTCACATGGAGGTTATTGACAGATGTCACTGCATCAGCTAAAGCAGTCAACTCATGGAAGTGTGTAGCAAACACACAGAAACCTTTGATCTTCGTGGCAATGTAACTAATGCAAAATATCAATAATATGTTAGTTTAATAATGCAATCTTTCTACGAATCAAGTGTTGAGTATAAAAAATTAAGAATATAATAGAAGTTTATACCATAAAAATTTTTTAATTTACTTACTCAGATATGGCCCAAGCAAGACCAAAACCATCGTATGTTGATGTTCCGCGGCCTAACTCGTCAATAATTATGAGTGAATTTTCTGTGGCAGACTGTTTAAAAAATAAGACAAGATCTAAAATTACTGTAACTTAATATTATTTAATTATTATTTTTATTATCTATAATGTTTAATACTTCTAAGGCTTAATTCCTTGTGTATTTCATTTGTTTTCTACCACCCCCTCCCCCTCCCCTTTTATCAAAATATACTTGTGACATCCATTGTACTGGTGGCACAGTGATCCTGGAGCCATACACATGCCCCATAGAGGGGTGATGGTGCACCCATGGGGTATGAACATTACCTCATGTTTTAAATATCACAATTATGATTCCCTTAATAAAAGAGACTTGTAAACTCCATGCCGTTATTATAATCCTAGAAAATCCTTACCTTGAGTATCGATGCGGTTTCCAGCATTTCTGCCATGAATGTTGAAATGCCTTTCAGCTGACTATCGCCAGCTCCAACACGGGCTAAGATGGAGTCCACAATGGTTATATCCGCCTCTTGACATGGAACAAAACACCCAACTTGTGCCATGTGAATAATTACACCAATCTGAGGATAAAATTGCAAGTGTCAAAAGGGATCAGGTGGTAGCAAGAGGCACCAATATAAATCATAATCAATACCATCATCTGCTTCCTTGACAACCTTCCACAACTTCATGTATGACCAATTAAGGCTTCCTTAGAGAGCATCTTACCTGTCGTATGAAAGTGGATTTACCACCCATATTTGGTCCAGTAATGATATGAAACATTTTATCATTTTTATCAAATTGAACATCATTGGGGATGAAGGCGATATCGTCTTGTACCTCCATGCATGGATGTCGGGACTGGACCAACTTGATGCCCCCTTCTCCAACTGAATTGATTTTTGGTCGCACGTAAGGAATTGGTGCATTGGCCGAGACATGTGCAAGGCTGAAAAATTTTTTAAAATGCATATAAATGACTCGACAGCGACGATTAAGCGCAAGAAATGTGTAAAATAAATATTTTTAAAACTTGGCAAACAAAGGAGCAAGTTGCAAAGTCTAGCATATATTGTGTGAATGACCTCAATGCATATTTATACTAATCAACTACTTTTTTGCATAATAATAATCAGCTTTATAGTGAATTATTGCCTAGGTCCCCAAGCACTTCACATTATTACTCCAGGCATCAAATAAAACATACAGGTGGTCAAAGGCTAATTTTTTGCAACATTTGTGCAGAAATCAGCTCATAGTTTTTAAAAGCCTAAAGGCCTAAATTTTGGCACTGAAATATTTAGAGTTAGAAGAGTGTACTGTACCTAACAAGAGCATCAACCTGAGCTGCAATATCGTTTAATTGCAAGAACGGTTCAACATATCCACCTAAAAAACAGGATTAAATATCAACATTTGTAAAATATTGCACACACATACAACTCTAAATTAGTCGCATAAATCTAGTACAATGAATTCATAAACCATATTTGTGTGTGTGTGTGTGTGTGTGTTAGTCATTAATAACCATTAATAAAAAGAACCATAATTTGATATGTTCATTATTATTGAATGTTGTCCTTACTTGCAATATCAATCACTTCTGCTACTACCGCCCTCTGTGTTTCATTGTAATCTTCTCTAGCTGACATATACTCCTCATTGCAGTCTCTCAGCTTACTATTAGTAAAACGTACACCGTTCTTGTTTGTGTCGATTGTTGAGAAATTCTTATTATTTCTGAGACATTTTTCATCCTGTGATTGAAAGATATTTATTAACAATTTAGAACAGAAGCTTCAATTTTTACCAAGACATCTAGGTCTCCAACCAGCTGTCACCTGTCGCACTGCCACCTGGCCTGTTCCATCTGGTGTGTTACCACATGGTCTGGTGTGACAGTTATTACAGCCTGGGTTGAAGATGTATATTTATCAATTAATGAATTAATAAAGATAAAAAAGTACCTTTCTAGTTACTCGGAAGAAGAAACCTAATTGTGCATTTGACTCTAATTTCATTGTTTTGCTGGGTTCCAAGCTAAGATCATTGGCTGCCTTGTTCAATACAGCCTTCATCTTCTTCTCCAAATTGTTCATCTTCTCTCTCAAACCTGATTTAACAAAAATATGTTAAATAAATATAAGAACAATGATAGTGGTATAGGTTAGTGGCTAAGAGGCTCGCTGCCATCCTAAGATCCAGGTTCATGCCTGGCAATGCACACGATTTATCTCTCTTTAACTCTTCTTCCTAGCCTCATAAGAAACTTGGGTTTATTAAGTATAATGTATAATAAATAAATAATGTTACTTCTAAATCATACTTACTTTGCAGATTTTCATCAAAAGCTGGTTTTATGAGGAACTCATGATTCTGTACCTGATCTAGGTCAAGGGTCGATTCAATCATCTGCTGATATTTACCAAAATCCATCAAAATTTCCTAAAAGTGAGTTTTAAAGGGGTAAAATTGATTTTAAATATCTTTGAATTTCTTTTGGAATTTAGACAATTTATTCTAATCAAATATTTTCTGTCACGAATATGACAAGGTAGAAATCTGATAGAGAAGGGATTGATGGTAAAAATGGAAAACGTACCTTTAAAGGGTTACAAAAGAGATGTAACAACAATGCCTTGTTCTTAGTTTCTGAAGTTTCCAGACTTTCCATAACATTTGGCATGTATTCAACCCCCTGATACACTTGGTAACAATCCTGAAGCGTTGCTTTCTTTCGTTGGAATTTTTTCGCAAGACGCTGGAAATCGGGGATTCGCTTCAGCTGTTCCTGGATTGTCTGTCGCAATTCTGTGTCTTCGAAGAATGTTTCAACAATATTTAATCTCTCCTCTAAAATAATAAGAGAAATACATGATTAATAATAAACATAATCCATCAGTTTATGTAATATGGTCCTGAGAGTTAGTGGTGTAAGGCTTGAAGACCAGATACAACACCTTTAATACCTCACTCATTATAATATATCATGTTTTATTATATGAGGCTCTTCATAACAGTGTTCTCTGCGCACTTCTCTTGAACACTCTTGTTGGAAATACTGATAAACACAGATACAGCTTATTAATACATTACTGAGGGATTTTTGCACAAGCCTGGTAAATATACCCACTATCACCCTAACATAAAACAATGTGTCTTACCTATCTTATTCTTATCCAATAATGGCTGTTTCACCCATTGACCTAGCAACCTTTGACCTTGAGCTGTCTTGCATTCGTTCAATAAACCTAGCAAACTTGTAGTACGATTACCTGAAATAAATTCAAAAAAGCAAAATGAAACGGTGGTTTGGTGGTTTTCAGGCTTGGCTTAAAATCCTAGACTGCATACCTAAAGTGTTGAATATTTGCCTAACAGCCTGCATGCCTTCAAGTTTATCTTGTGCTAAGTATGTATTTCTCATCAAGTTATTGGCAACATCACTCATATTTTTTTTGTTTTTTTTGTGGGGGGGGGGGGTGGAGGGGATAAAATGGGAAAAAATTTGTTTAATAAAAAGTATAAAAGTAAATACCTCACTTCACAAATCGTTATATCGTAGATTATTCAAAATTGCATATTTAATTTGGGTGCATATGCACAGACATCGTAATAGTTGATCATTGATATATTATTATTACATTATAGGGTATTATTAGGTTTTGAATACACACCATCAGTTGGAGAAGGAAAGAGGTTAAGTGCTCTGACGGCAGCAGCATCTAGTTTCAAATACTGACTCAGATCAAACGTCTCCAGCTTGAATTGTCCAAAATTTGTTTCATCGCCAAGAAACTAGAAGTGGAATTAAAAGAGAAAACAATAATGTCAGCAAATCTAAAATAAATAATGATCAATAATGTGGAACAGTAGCAAGGCCTTAGGCTTTGAATCAAGAGGTTGAGGGTAGCAGATCCAGGAATCTGAAAAAGTGGGGCCCAGGAAGGCACATTGACAGATGGAGGGTCTATCACCTCAGCCCCACCATGGTTGGGGCTGAGCAAAGAAAATTTACGATTATAGCACCTCTAGATGGTTGATAATGGCACTCTCAGCTACAATTTGAATATAATTTTCTTTTTTTCTCCAATTGTTTACAATTTTGAAAAATTGGGGGGGGGGGCAGCTGCCCCCCCCCCCCCCTGAATCCACCACTGAATACTTAGTGTCCTTGGGCAAAACATTAGATGGACGTTGTGAATGATAATTTCAAATGAATTGAATCACTAGGATACTGTGTAGCAGGTTGGTGTTTGTACATTCAAGGCCTTATCTTTAGCGGAATTATGCTGGCTGTATAGACAACTGCAGGTAACATCAACGTTGGGCTGGCAGTGGGAAAGGTTATAATTGATATGTATAATTGATTTTAAACTTACCTCAAGGTATTTAATTAATGCTGCTAAAGATGCCATTGCATATTTATTCTCCATTTCAGCTGCAAAATATAGCAAAAACAACTTGAAAATTGATGGGTTTTTTTATTTAAAAAAATACTTTGTGACTGGATTGATGATTCTGTGATTTAATATTGTTGTACCGCACAGGTCAATCGACTACTAACTGCCATAATAATTGCTAATTCTGCTAAAGATTCCAATATTTACCCATTGCAGCACTATTTATTTGTTCCTCTCCCTTACTCTTCAGAAGCCTGTTGAGGTCCTGCACAATGTCTCTAGTTCCAAACTCGCTCCGTTTCCGCTCTGTCACAAGTATGTTACTCCTCATAAGGATCTGCTTGAGTTTATTAGCCTCGGGACTGCTGTCCCCACCAACACTTTCCAATAAACATTCCTTCGGGCTTAGCTGTACCAGAAGAGCCTGAAGAGGAATTGTGAAACTCATTTTTAGTGATTACTTTTTTTTCCCTCAAATATTTTGACGTCACCAAATTACCCACATGTTAATGCATTTACCTCTAGGTTAGAAAACTGATCATTATCTGCAAACTCGCAAATGCCCATCTCTCGCAATGTGGCATCTGCATAGCCAACACCCAGCACTCTTTGACCCCCTATCTTGACCGCTATCACACCTGGTGATGTTGACATGTCACTGTTGCCAAATAAAAGGTCTTCAAATTGGGTTAGATTACCAGGGGATCCCTGCAAATAAATACAAATGTTCTAAAATTTAATTAATTGATTATAGTTTAGTAATAAATATATAAAATTAATAAATTATAATTAAAAATTTCTTGCATATCAAAGATGCTGGGAGTAGGCAATACATGGCTTGGTGTGAATTTACTGGATTAAAATCATGCAAATGGTTGAGTTTTTTAAAGCGAAGATAACGTAACATTTATTGCCCAACATTACACTGGAAAAGAAGTAAATCGGTAAACTTTTGTATTAGTTAATAGTTTATGGTAAAAATCAAATTACCTTGAATTCTAACACCCAATCGTTGCCTTTGCCACTTGCTTTATTTTGGTAAACCTCAACCCGATATTGGCGAACCAGCAAAAGATGTTTCACAAATGATTCAAAGTTCATCTTACTCAGTACAACATATGCCATCTTCCTTTCTCCTGTTTATGATTGAAAAATATAGTCATCACAGACCTACTGGGAGGTGATTATATAATTAGTGTACAAGTTTTTTTTCCCTCAGCAACATCACATGTTTTATAGCACATGCATGCCTTCGCATTTAGAAGACAGTCAAGACTCATATATCTACAGCGGTTATTGTATCAAACAGGTATAAACACATACACAGCCCTGAGTGGGCGTATTCCATATTTATATCATTACAGTATTAAACATGGAATATTCCATAATGTTACTGTATTGATACGTCTTTATTATGATCATTGCATTAAACTGTATAGCGCCCCCTACTTATAAGCAAGTTCAGATGGACTACAGTAGCAGTATGTGTCACCCACGCGAGTCGTCAGCCATCTTGTTTGCTCATATTTCTCTGACAGTCTGTCATTCATTTCCATGCATACATCTCATCTATAGTTACAGCTAGTAAGCAGCGCACTGCTATGTAAACTTAGCAGAGGCATGACAGGGTGTAACCACTGGATGCTTGGTTGAGGTGAGACTTTCATCCACATCAAATTACTCACCTGACCCCAAGTATTTAATTACTCCAGTTGTCTTGAAAACCTCTTTGGCAGCAAACATGGCATCATTCCCATGAACTGTGTAGTATTCCTACAATAAATCATTTTAAACCTGTATTATACGTCAACTGATGTCAATGATGTGTTTTCATTATAAACTTGGCCAGCAACACAAGTAACAATTAAATGATTGCGTTATGACAGAATATATGATTGAAATTTAAGAAAACTTACGGTTCGGTCAAAAAATCTAAAGGTTGTGTCAGGTTTCTGAAAAAAAAAGCAAATGATTTAATGAAATATCATGAACATATAATTTGAATTGTAAATATTAATCAATAAATAAAAAGTTTGATGTAGCATTCTGAGTTATTGTATTGACAAACAAATAAAATTAAAATAAAATACAATAAATGACAGTTTAAAAACTAAGCCCACCTTTGGCATCGCATGAAGAAACGACAGCAAACCATGTTCCTGAGCGCCATCTAGATAAAATGATAAATTAATATAATGATCACTTCAATAATGAATGACATTTTTTTATTTAAAAAAATTAAATTTTTATGTTGTTACTGTATATTATAATATAAAATGGCGGTGAATAAATGTTGATTTGATTGATTAAGATTGATTGAGATTCATGAGTTACTTTTGTTTCTTTCTAGGGCCCGTCTAGTTCTTTATAGAGATAGGCATATTACTGTATTCTGATTCCTTCAATGTAAATTCCGGTCTTAAGCCGGGCACACACTGCCCGGTCGTACGAATCCAACTCCGCTCTCTGTGAGCGACAGACGACGCGATGTTATCAGCTAAGGTAAGTCTGTGTTGTGTCCTATGTTGTGTTGTTGCTGAGGTATCTTTTCTTAGGCCTATTAGTAGGATATATGATATTGATTTGGTGTTCGTGTCACTGATACTCCGTCTTGGATCGTGACACCTCTTTCAAGTTATGTAGGCCTAGCCTAGAGTGTATTCGATAATTAATAGCTTTAGCTTGAAATAAAATCAATTCTACATACCTAAAGTTAACTGTTGATTTGGTTGAACAGCCATATTCAGGCTAAAAACCGATTACGCTGTACAAATTTGCAAACTTTTTATCATCAGGATTGTGCCTAGTGTCAGTAGAGCGGCGCGGCACAACGTAAATAACTTGAACTGCCTATGTACAACAAGAAACAAAATACGATTGGTTGCTTGTTGGGGAATTCACCAAGATCATCCAATCATACACCGCGATCTAGATCTGTTGTCTCGAAAAATTGCGCGAAAATTCCACATGGTATCTATTTACAATAATTACCCCCACGAGGCCTATGGTTTGCGTGTCTTTTAAGTCCGAAGTTGTAATAGTTTCATTTTGTTGGTTTCTGAACATACCATGGGTTCACAACGATAAGTGAAAAGTAAATTATGAAACATGAAATAGCTGATATGAAAAGTAGGGACAGGCCTACGAGGCACCACCAGAGAATGTTTGATTTGATTTGCGTTTTTTTTTGCGAATCTCTGTAGGCCTACCTACCATTTCGAAAGATTTTGAGCGACGCCCGACAACGCCCACATACGCTCTCGTCCAGTGGCGTATCTACGAGTCTTGAAATGGGGAGGGGGTTGATGGTGGGGGAGGTGAAGCCCGAAAATTGGAGTTCACAGAAGTTAGAACTCATTTCTAACCAAAGGCAAATTGAAATAAGACCATTCTCGTCTACATGAAAACTAACGTAGTGGATCCCCTTCATCATGTTCTTTCACATTAACTCTCCCTTTTCTGAAAAGTTCAATCCATTATATAATATCATCATAACATAATTAGTTTTAAATATCAATTAAATTACATTTACGTTTGTTGTTGCATGGTGATAATTAAATTACAAGAGTAGGCCTAGTGAAGCATTAGAGTGGCAC